AGGGAGGAAGGGAGGAAGGGAGGAAGGGAGGAAGGGAGGAAGGGAGGAAGGGAGGAAGGGAGGAAGGGAGGAAGGGAGGAAGGGAGGAAGGGAGGTAGAAGTGCATGAATCAAAACAAGATGCCACACAGAGTTCGTCAATAGAGTCAGCGGAGGAGTCTTCCTTGACCTCATTTCCTCTTCTCAACCGTTTGCAGTCTCACAAGGAAATACGAAAAGTGAACAAAGCCTCAAGTACATGCTCAATCATGTCTTCGCTGTTGGTTTCTGTGTATCATTAGTCAGTATACTTAACGTGCCGGAAGGGTACTAACGTATCGAACTATCCTGCGATGAATAGTAGTACGCTACCGAAGTACTCTTCGGCCATTTTGCACTTCCACTTATCTTTCTGGGCCAATCTTTCGCTCGCAAAATAGGCTTAAAAAGACTGCCTCCCACTACTTGTGCCTGAGCGATCTCTTAAAGAATTCCATCTTTGATTACGTCTCATTTCATACTTTGGCTTATGGCTCAAGAGAACATGCTGAATCATGTCATCGCCGTTCGTACTATTAGTCGTTGGTTAGCATAGCATATTCCACTATCATACGCATATACGCACGCAATCCAACACCGATTAGTGCAATAGCGCGCCGACTTTAAACTTCAGACAAGCTTCTTACGCGTGTGTTGTGTGTGTATTGAACCAAACTGCGCTTTGACTGCAACACGTTCTGATGGAATTTGAATGCATTGACTTCATCATCATCCCTATCCGATCCTTCCGTACTCGATTGGTTTCATAAAAGTCACTTGGCAGATGAGAGAGGATACGACAACCTCACAATGAACGATATATCCAACTTTGAATATCTGGCACCTTGGCCTGTTCATGCATTGGCTTGGTCAACATCTCCTTCAACAAATGCATCTTCATCAAAATGGCAAGAAACAATTCGAGGAAATCCTTATCAACAGCAGAACAACAATCAAAACTCTTCATCATCTTCATCAAATTCAAATCCTTCTGGAATACCTCGTGATGCTCGAATAGCGATAGGTAGCTTTGTAGACGAATATACTAATCGGATACAAATCTTAGGCGTAACGGATGATGAATATGGTTTACCAACCCTTGCGCCTGTTGCGGATTCGGCTCATCCATATCCTGCTACCAGGATCGCTTTCCAACCTTCTACTCTAGATGAAGGTGGTAGTGGAGGAAACGACGGAAGGTCGTCATCCTATTATAAGCAATCCAAGGGCGACTCTTGGGGAAGTGGAGATGTAGAAGATGGCACAGGCGGCTACGATGCAATATCCCGTTATCCAGACCGAGAACTTTTGGCCACAACAGCAGACTGTCTGCGTATCTGGGAATGCTTGCGAGAAGAGGATGGAGGTGGAAGCGGTTCAGGCTTTTTAGGAGATCGATCAGGGAAAGGATACCCATTCGCATTACGTGAAAAGAGTGTTTTGGCACATTCGAAAAACACAACAACATCACCTGCTCCGCTCACTTCATTTTCTTGGAACGTTCCTTCGCCCAATTTGATCGTGACTTCTTCAATCGATACGACTTGTACGATTTGGGATTTACCTTCTAGAACCGCATTGACTCAATTGATCGCACACGATCGTGAAGTGTATGATGTTGATTGGTGCCCCGGAAGTTCGGACGTATTTGCAAGTGTGGGAGCAGATGGAAGCGTTCGTGTGTTTGACTTGAGAAGTTTGGAACATTCTACGATCATCTATGAAACCGGCAATCCAGGTCCAATGAGCACCGGCAGCGGAGGAAATAATGGTGATACCAGCAGACCAAGCAGTGGAATGAGTCACGAAAATCTAGCAGCACCTCTACTAAGGATCGCATTCAATCCTTGGGATGCGAATTACCTTGCAACCTTTCATTTGGATTCCGATAGCGTTCAAATCTTGGATGTTCGTGCACCTGGAAGTCCTATTCTAGAACTACGTGGTCATCAAGGCGCAATCAATGCTGTTGCATGGGGACCTCCAGGAACGGGATTCAGTGGAGGATCAAGTAAAGGCATGATCTGTACAGCCGGGGATGATTCTCAATGCTTGGTGTATGATCTGGCAAGCGCAACATTACGAAGTGCATCGGCTCAAGGAAGAAGGTCACGTAACGGAGCAGGTCCAAGTCCTGCTCCTTCTTCGGATAGAGGTGTGAATTCAAGCATAGGAGCGGAAGTACCAATATTAGCATATAGTGCAGAAGAGATGGTGAACAATGTCGCATGGCTACGATTGCCAACACTTGGAGGTTCCTCGACCAACAAATCGGGAGGAGGAGTGGTACAAGAGTGGGACGAATACGGAAATAAGTCAGGGCCAGACATTGATTGGCTAGCAATGACTTCGGGACGATCAGTTCGAGTGTTGAGGGTTTGAGACCTCTTTTTTTATGATTCAATAGACGTTCACGACATGATACCTTAATGCATATATTAAAGTCTAAGAATGTGTAAAGTACAAATGCGTGTGGGTAAAGTACAAATGAGTTGCTGCGATTTTCTCATGAAAGGCCGAATCCTTGATTGCCATTCCGTATGGCAAACAAGAGACATCGTTGAAGGATGTCATAAGATGGATACTGAGGTAAGAAGAGTGTATTGCTGCACGTCGAAGCAGTGGGTAGAGGATAGGTCTGCATACTTGTCGGTATTGGATCCAACAAACGGATGGTGAAAGGTGATTCCTTTCCCGCGGTATCATTCATAGATCGCAAGGTGAGCATTCGATGACTTGCAGTGACAAAGTGAAGTAAATTACGCAAGTCGTCTCTCGAGAAATCATCAACGATTGACCAAAATAAGGCGAGATAAGTATGCATCTCTTCTCTTTCTTTTGCGCTTTTGGCATGCATCAAAACTTGACAAGATCTTTGTAAAGATGCCGTATTGGCTGCCATTTCTTTTCCGTATGTGAGTGAACTCCATTCGGAAAAGGTGAACAATTCCAAACCACTGATGCCAAAACAAACACGTGAAAACCCTTCTCGTATGTTGAACAGAGTGTCTTGAATCCGTCTTTGCAAGAGATAGAAGAGAATTGCATCAACATACTTTGACCTATTTTGCATCGAGACCGTGATTTGATCCCCATTCGGTAGGAGGTTGATAGATTTGGCATTCTTCTCATCAAAAAACGTGAAGTCAACACCCAAGACATCCTCAATGCTTCCTTGCTTCACTTCATCCCATGTCATTATTTTGGAAAGGCCATCAGCCAATCCAGGTCGTGTGTAGTGAAGCATGTCCAATGACGGCTGTGTATTTGTATCAGAGCTGCTTAAAAGATCATAGACGTATGGGGCTAAGGGGACATCAATAGCCACCCTTCGCAGGATTGCAATTCCCAGCACGATCCCGAACAATTGAGCCTGTTCTTCAGTACAATCATTTCGAAGATCCATAAACTCCGCCTGATCGTCAGTTTGAATGAGGATTATATCCCGTAAACTTTCAATCATTAGTAAACACCATTCTTTCGTTAACCCGCCACGATCTTGACCATCTTCTCCTATAAAGGCGATATCCAAACCATCAATGACGATATCTTTTGACATTTTATTAAAACAATTCATAGAATCTTGTAAGAGATGATCTCTTTGAACTTTTAAATGACAAACGTGTTTTTGATCGGGAGCATCTCTTCTATACGCTGTTCCTGCATAGATGTGATCATACATGACCAACTTTTCATTCTCGTTCTTTCTACGTTGGAATTGTTGTTCCATCAATGTAAGCTTTGTACTTGTTGGTATTATGTGTCGACATGAACGCATTGTAGGCATCCATTTCTCTTGTTTGCTCTGGTCTAGCCGTTGAATGAGCGCATCAAATGCGACGACATGAAATTGTGAATTGTCTATACGTTGTGAAGAGCGTGAAAAGTATTGTGCGATACAATCCAATAGGATCGCCGGTCCCATGAATGCTGATTCGGCTATCCGATGGGCGAGAAAGAGAGCAGAGTGGGATTCCCATACCAACTTTCCACATAGGCCCACTAGCCAGTACCCTAATTCTGCTATATCATTCTCTTCGTATTGATGTTGAAATATGTCCGAAACATGATCGGGATTGATATGAACCAAGAGATCTAAGAAGCGTTGGCCTGGTTGAATGTCCAACTTTCTGTAGATGCTCAATATCGCCAGGGTAACTTGCAAACATGCCTTTCGTTCTGTATTCCATCTCTTCTCCAAATCTTTCACCAATACATACTCCACCGTTCGTCTGAATTGATTTTTGATTGATTGTGCATGATCGCCATCCAATCCGTTGATTTGATCTGCAAAGTAATTGATACTCTGCAATGACACCTCCATCGCTATATGATTTGCATCGTATTGATTGTCGTTAGATGTCAAATATGAATGATGTGCAGTGCATATATGCAGACTTAGATGCTTATCTTGTCGTCATTGAATTGCCTTTTATGAAATATTTTCAAGCTATGTGTGTATCCAGAGTTAAATCTTGCGGCGACTTGTAGAGTGAAGATGCATATCATTCATGCATGACGCGTTTAGAAGCCGACGCTAAAGGCTTTCAGTTCAACACTCCCGCACAATCTTCTAAACGGGAAGCAAGGCTGTGTAATATTTTTAGATTTTAGGGTGGAGATTTGAGTTTGAGAATTGGCAGACATGTTTGTTGCTTTCTATTATGTCTTGTGTAAAAGAGTTTTCAGGGTGCAGATAACTGTCAATCCACACAGCCCGAACAAAATACTCGATTGAGTGATGCTTACCAAAACAAGAATATATAAGATGTATGCATCATATGATAAACTCTCTCTCTTTCATTACAATCATATCATTCTCCGTGATCGTCATCTCCCATTTGCTGCTGGTTCAGCAATTCCTTTAAATGATGCGATTCAATATTTCATTCTTGACTTTGGCAATCGTTGCTCAATGTGCTGGTACAATTGTGGCAAGTCCCGCCCTTTTAAATCGTCAATCAAATAATGGCTATACAGATCCAAGGAATAATGGCGGAAGTATGTTAACACGTATAGATCCTACTTCTCAACTTGGTGAACCGTTAAATGTAATCATTTCTTCCAATTCCGATCAAGACGTTCTTACAAGCGCTGGTTTATCGGAATATTTTGAAAGTTTATACTTTTCACCAGGTTCATGTGCAGGTATTTCTTTGGGAGGCGCTCAACAAGCTAATCTTGGAGATGGAACAGGTTACATCAATCAAACCAATGTTTTACGTTTCAATTATTATGGTGGAGATAGTGGAACATGTTTAGAAAGCGTTAAAGGTGGCAATCATTTACGTTATTGGATCCAAAACGGTTCTTCTGCAGATACAAAAGCAGTCTTTATTGCCGCAAGTGTTGAAATGCCAGCTCAAGAAGGTCATAATATCGTAAGTAACGGTTATGATTTAGGAAGAAATCAATTGACCGGAAATGCTACCAATTCAACCGGAACAACTTCACCGGGAGGATTCAAGTATACAGCAAGCATGAAACAAGTCAACCTTTTGCAAAGCGTTGATCAAAGTCAAATCAATCACGGTATCAGCATTGATGGAAACGTAAACGTTTTAACCGTCAAAATCACAAAGACTGGTCAATTGGGTGCAAATAGAAACGGAAATAGCGCATCTGATTCAGGTTCTAGCAGTGGAGCTCTTTCTAGTTATCCTGGCATGCTTTCGGCTTTATGTTCTTCAGTATTCCTCTCTGCTGCATTTTTCGTATCCATGTAAACCACCCTTTGCAAATTATTAACGCTGAAATAGAATGAATGATATACAATATGTATGAGAATGATGAGGAAACAAGAAATATGAATCTATCAACGTCGACGTTTTGATCTGGCCTCTTGGCGATCACTGTGCTGTTGGATATCATCTTCATCAATCGTTGCCATAGCGTCCCACATTCCATCATCTTCCACAGGTAAAGCTGCATCAATATCCTCTTCTTCAGCATTTCCACTATTGCATTTGACCGATCGTTCTGCCTCAGGTACAACTCCGTCCCACGCAATGACATTTGCGCCTTCCCGCATGAATTGTGAAGAAAGTGTTTGTCCTTTCTGTTTCGTTGACTTCCGCATTGGAGCATCTTCGGCAGAAACGTCAATCGTTGCAGCTTGAGAATCAACAGGAACACTGTGCAAGCGTAACAAGCGATCTGCTGATGCGGTGACAAGGTAAGAATCACCTCGGTTGTTATTAATGGCCGGCAAACTTTCCATAGATAAAACAGCGCCATTTATACCCTTGTACTGATAAAGAACTGATCCAGATCGAACGTCCAAAACGAAAAGCTTTCCTGTCGTATCGGCCGCAATCAGTTCGGTCTTTCTTTCGCTGCACAAAAGAATCTTGACCGGAATCTTCTCTTGTGTCGCTCCGAATGCACGGTATTCATGCGTATGCTTACGTTGGGATGACGTATTGAAAATTCGTATATGACCGGTTCGGGTACCTGTTGCGATTATGTTTGGTGAGCCCATGAATGCAACACTGAGAATGTCCGGTCTTTGTGGCAATGATAATGAGTCATTTGGCAGATTCTTCGCTCGCCATATTTCTCCCCACAATAATTCTCTTGCTTTTGCACGATTTTCCATGATTCTCTTTCGTTTGCGTTGCTTGTTAGCTGTTGCTGCGTCCACTTCTTCGTCCATGCCATTGACTGTATGCATTCCACCGGAGCCATTAGTATTCCGGGATGACGATGACGCGTTCTCATTATTTTCACCGTCTTGTGTTTCTCCATTGGATGAGATTGCCTGTCTAGCATCCCAGACACTGAGCGGGATTTCCTCACCTCCATATGCGAAATGCGTCGGATCGCTTTTCGGCTCAAATGTTACCATTTGCAATGGTTCAGGTACTTCCCTTTTGATACAGTCTCCTTTTAATGCCAATGTTGCGTCTTTCGATCCTTCTTCTTGATCGATTGAGAAGAATCGCATATCACCTGCCGAAGTGCATGCGAAGATACCATCATGTGCAACAGCCAGTCCTACCCAACGATGAACACCTTTCTTCATTTCGCCATTTCGCAAAGATGTCAACAACTTTCCTGATATCGATTCGAGAATGTCTATCCTTCCATCTTTGCGAGCCAATGCAGTCACATCAACATCACGCAATCGTCCAGATGCAATCCTTTGTACCAAATGATCGCCCTTTGAAGCGCCGGCTCCTTTGGCCTCTCGGACAAGTTTGACATTTGTATCACTAACACTTTCATCTTCCGCTTGTGCTTGTGTTGTGTTTATTAATGAAGGGTCTCCCAAGGTAACCTCTGATAGTGAACCATGATTATCCGCAGTCAAGAAGCGGAAGGAGGCCGCTTTTGAAATGCCAGAAGTGGCGGCAGTCGTCTCCTTTTCCGCCACCATCTGAGCTTTTGAAGGAGTGAGAACGATAGATGGCATACAACCTCAAACGCTTCCTTGCTTGTTACGCCCCTCTAGACTGCTCCAAATCTGATTGATGATCGATGTTGAGTGTAATGATGACAATTGTAACAAGAAGATTGGCAATGCAATAAGTTTATTTGCATTACGGCAGAATATCAGTCATTATTTTTTTAAATTAGATTTGTTTAAAATGCAAATCAAAAATCATACAATTTTTTTTTGGATTAATCTAGACTTAACTAGATGCTTCTATTCCTTCTAATTACATTTTAGCTCGCGTATTAGAGCCTGCACTCCGCCCTATGAGCAGGTACGCACGCTCCACCTTTAAGAAGAAATTGCATATATTCACTTCTACTCTTGTTCCAAAACTTCCTTCATTGCCATCACAAAGAGCTTATAGTAAGAAGAACAAGATGCAAGCTCAAACAAATCCAAATGAGGATACAGAATTGTGAGTGTTACAGGCAAGAGAATGTTACTTGGTCTTTGCTAACCATACATCTTACATTGATTTACTAGCAATGACGCACTCCGGGCACATGGCATCTTGCCTCCCAAGCCGCCATCCCGATCCCCCTCTCCGGAACCACCAGAAGCATCAGAAGTACGGAATGCACAGCTAAAGCAAGCAACAGTTGCAGACCTAGACGAGGAGATCGATCTTTTAGCCGATGACGGAAAGGGAAACGATGAAGAAGAAAAGAGATTGATAGAACTGCGACGGAGAAGAATGCAAGATTTGATAAAAGAACAAAAGAAAGGCAAATTTGGGCGAGTATATCCGATAGCAAGACAAGATTATACCCGGGAAGTGACTGATGCAAGTAAAGAACCCGCAGATGGACAATCAGCACAAGAAGAAAGAGAAGAAGAAGAAAGGCAGCGGACCAAAGGAACGAGCGTGAGCTTCTCGGCTGCCGATGAAGATTCAACGCCTTCGACACAGGTAAATGAAGAGCAACCACAGAGGAAAGGAACGGGTGTAGTATGCTTCTTGTACAATGATGCACTAGAAACTTGCCGACTTTTGTCAGGATTCTTGGATACGCTCGCAGCCAAATATCCAGCTACGAAATTCGTTAGTATCGTAGGTGATAAATGTATTCCAAACTATCCTGACAAGAATCTTCCGACGATGTTGATTTATCGAAACGGAGAATTGCATCGACAAATTGTTGGCCTACGACCGGAGATTGGTTTAGACGGAATGAAGACAAAATTGGAGGACATCGAATTACTCCTGCTAGCTGTAGGTGTAATTGAACGCTCTACAGTACCCGGATCATCGAGCTACGAGCCAGGATTGCAATTCAAAGACCCTAAAAAGAACCCTGAAGAGGGAGAAGATCAGGATGAAGATGAAGGATTCGGTGGAAACAGAACGAAGACTAAGCCAACTATCAGAAGTCAAGAGGAAGAAGATGCAGAATTGGATTGGGATCTATAGAGACTTGTACGAGCTGAAAGATGTTAAAAGTTGAATATTGCATACATTGTGATGTTATATCACTTTCATCATGATCTCCTTAATGAATCGGTAAATGCGATGCCCCCCTTGGCATTGGCGTAGTTAGACTATTGGTGTGCCCTTATTTCCGCTTTTCATTTGCTCCACTGGGCGGCTGATGTTTTCCCCGCTCTCTACTTAAAGTACAACACGGGGGGGCCGCGTATTCATTGGCCGTTCAACATTGTCATCTCTTGCCATCACCATCACTCCCATACAAACCGACAAAGATGGGATACATGCCATCTCTGTATGGTGCCACAAAGGCTGTACTGGGCATCTTTGCTCTTGGTGTGGCAAGTACGGCAATGCTTTTATATCGTTATCAGCGTAGTTTAGTTTATCCCAGTAATTTCCCTGCCGGTTCAAGAACAGAAGTCTTAACGCCAGATCAATTCGGCATTGATGATTTCGAAGTAATCGGACTACAAACACCTGACGGTGAAAAGCTACATGCTTTCTTGCTTCAACAAAGACAAATAAGCACGAAAGAGAAAGAACGTGGAGTATCAGATGATCCAAACGAAGTCATGGCAAGGAGGCCAACAGTCTTATTCCTACATGCAAATGCAGGCAATATGGGTCATAGGCTACCTTTAGCAGCAGTATTCTATAAACGTTTCGGCTGCAATGTCTTGATGATCTCTTATCGCGGTTATGGACTTTCGACCGGTGAACCTAGTGAAGTCGGAATTCGAATTGATGCTCAAACCGCGTTAGAGTATATCCGCAAACATCCGATCCTAAAAGATACATTTGTAATAGCGTACGGTCAAAGTATTGGAGGAGCAGTTGCGATCGATTTAGCAAGTCGAAATCCTACCAATATTGGAGCTTTGATTTTAGAGAATACGTTTTTAAGTATACCCGAATTGATCCCTCACGTTTTACCGCCTATCAAACCTTTCACATTCTTATGTCGAGAGTATTGGCCATCAGGCGTTTCTATCAAAAAGATTGGAAAACAAACTCCAATATTATTCTTGAGTGGAAGAAAAGACGAATTAGTTCCACCTTCACATATGGACACTTTATACGCACGCTGTCAATCAAATCTAAAAGTATGGAAACAATTGGACGATGGCACGCATAACGATACTTGCGTAAAGCCAGGTTATTTTGAAGCCATTGGATTATTCTTGGCAACCTATGTGATTCAACATACGAAAGGTGGTAGGGCGGCAGCAGATGCAGCAATGAAAGTACTTTCAGGCTCTTATCAAATTTCCGATAATCCGAATGGAGGCTATCAGATTCGTTCAAAATCTTCGCATAGCTCAAAACCTTCTTCATCTTCACCTTTGGCAAGGTCTTACGATAATGAAATCGGATCTGAGCCCAAAAATCTCAATGTACAATCATCAGCAGCTTCGGTTTCAAGACCTTCTAGCATCACCAGTGGAGAATGGGTAGAAATGACCGCTTCAGATGTGTTGCCTTCTACGGAAAGTGACATTGCACCCGCTATTAGCGTAGCACCACAAGATATTGCCTCTTCAGCAGCCAGAAAGGGAGAATTGTAGCATACCAAATGGCAATGACATTCATTTTTGCGATAAAAAAAAGGCACACTTCTAAGTAAATTTCATGAGGAAGCGTATTACATTACAAATCGTTTAAAAGTCACAAAAAATTTATATATAAATCTTGTTTTATAAAAAGCATGAAAATTGCATCAATCGTAAAATCCATTTAATCCACACGCACATATCGTTTACTGATCGGCTTCTTCTTCATACTTCCTCCTGGTGGTGGTCTAGGCGGAGCAGATCCTGTTGCTCCACCTGCTGCACTGGCATCCGACATTGCCGAAAACGACCTGTTCGATTGAAGAGCTGGTGGCTGACTGTGATCGGCCAGATTGGATCTTGCTCTAGGTCCTGAACTGCCGGTAGACAAAGTAGAGTAATTGGGTGGACGGACTGGTGGTGAAGCATTGCCAGGCTCTCCTTCTCCATCTTCGCCCAATTCGCTGATGGTTGAAGAGGTGGATGATCGTGGAGGTGGTGAGAAAGGAGATGATCTCGCAGGAGGAGGTCCCCCACTTCCGGCAAGATGAGAACTTGAAACTGCTCTTTGTGCTTCACGCAAAGGAGGAGCACCCATCGGACGTCCAACTGACGGCGATGCTGTTGCTGCACGGGGAGGTGGTGGTGGTGGGGTAGCAGCTTGTGGTGTATCACCTGCTGCTTTGTTCACCCATCGTTTCAATTCTTTATCGTAATAGAATGAAGATTCATTACCCATATGTGCCTTCGTAGCTTTGGCTTCCGTTGGATCTGGTGTACCTTTTCTTGAACCCCACAATCTTCCGATACCGAACCAGCTAGATGGCTTTTGTTCGTCACTTTGCTTATCAACCGTCTTTGCTGAATCTGTCGATTTATCACCTTCGCTTTCACCTCTTCCCCCCATCTTTTGATCATAAGTACTGGCTTTTGGTGTCACTCCAGGTGATGAGTCGTCTTCTCCATTCATATCATCTTCGTTATTCTGACCAGCTGCATTTCGTTGAACCCTCTTGTTTCCAGTATTTCCGAAGCCTAGGTCATCATCGTCATCGTCATCATCAATATGTCTATTTTGTCTGGCGTTTGAATGCGGAGCATATGTGTTGAAAGTTGGGGTAGGTGTTCCACCCAAAGCATCCATTGGCGATAAAAGGTCTTGGCCTTCGCCTCCATCGTTGAGATCGTGATCGACATTTGACACAAAAGTCGACTCCGTTGCTCCATGTGCTTCGTAACCATAATAAGGCTGACCTTCCGATGTCGTATAATTGCTCGAAGCTCCATACCTGTCACTTTCACCTGTTGTCTGCCCACCGTCTTCTTCGTACGATCCTTCTGCTCCATGTCCATTGGCATGTGGCGCATGCAATGTGCTATCGCCTCCGCTGAACGAACTGCCATCGTTCCATGGCGCATTTCGCGTAGTTGACGTCTTGTAAGGTCCTTCGAATGATTCAGTTTCAAAAGACGAATCCATTCCCCGCGACAAATGACTGTGATCACGAGAACGATGAGAAGGACCTGCACTCGTTGGCCAATCGCTATACGCTTGCTCTTCGGTTGAGGAAGAATTCGTTGTCATTGTGGCTGAAGCAGACGCAGGATTACGATTTGCGTAACCATACGATACGTATCCAGCATTGGATTGATGAGCTTGACTTAATGGCGACACAATTGATCGACCTGTACTGCCGTGGACATCCAATGTGCTGCTGGCACGAGAAGCGGGGCGACTGAAAGATGCATTGGACGAGGTTGAATGTGGTGGAGCATGCGAGGAAGACAAACCTCCATAGGCATTGTATGGATGTTGACCTGAGCTTGAATTATGGAAATCAGTATACGATTGTACGCGAGAGACGTCTCTCGAAGTAGCTTCTGGGGTGATAGCACTGTAATGCGTGAAAGCTCCAACTTGATTGTTCGTTTTACCAGTGCTACCATTCTGACCTGCAGCAGTAGCTGAGTCTTTACTGGTATTTGAAGCATCGTCCTCTCCAGCAATAAATTTGGTAAACCTGTTCTCTAGAGCACCCCAAACCCCATCCATTGTTGGCTTCTTCTTTGCCCAAGATCCGCTTCCTGCACTGTTGGGACTACTGTTCTTTCCATCACCTCCGCTAAGACGGTCAGAAAGCTCTTGCAAGTGTTGCAGTAGACCTGGATGGTAGTATTTGTTCATCTTTCCAGATTTGAGAAGATTGGTGATTGCTTCGCAATACTTCAAGGCTTTCTTTGTCTCTCCCATTTCTGCCAAGAACAAAGCGTGAACGATACGATATGCTTGTAGATGTGGCAAGCCTTGGAATTGTTCACCTCCTTTGGGCACAGTGCGTAGGCTCAAAGCGAATTCCAAAACTTCTGTAAGAATAATTGCATCTAGATCACGCAGGTAAGCAGAACTTGCGGCTGGGCTGTGTGTGCCAAGTAAAGTCAACCGAGCACCTCCTGGTCCATCAAAACCGTCTACGCCTGAGGTAGGCAAGGACAAAAGATAGCATACATGTGCACCCTCTAGCCAACCTCCAACGCTCAAACCATCTCCAATAGCCGTCAAATGCGATAAATCACTTGATGAACGATTAGCCAGAATCATTGCTACGCTTCTTTTCCAGTCCTTTCTTCTTTCAAGACTTTGCTTTGCTGCTTCTGAATTCTCGTCATGCTCTACGCCTACTGTAGGCGCAGAAAATGTATTGAGCGATTGTTTTGGTCGGAAAAGGTCATATGTCGCCTTCACATCTTGACCCGAAAATAGTCCATATGCAGTCTTTAACGTTTGATCAGATCTATCGTCTAGTGTTTCATCCATGAACGATCTGACTACATCTTGCCATGTATCTTTGTCCATCCCGCTAGCAATGATCACAGCATGTGTCCACAACTTATTGTCTTTGGCCAATGTTACTGCATCTCTCCTTTCACCCTTGATGAGGCAATGCTCAACCTCTCGTAATACCTTTCTCTCCTCCTGCGATGGGACCACCGAAGCCGACGTGGAATTTGCATGCTGCTCCGTGCTTGCATGAGATTGATCGCTATCTTCAGCGAGCATCAAATCAATGACAGCTTTATCGAATGCTGTATTACTGGTCATATTTCCGTCGTGCTCAAGCAATAATGATAGAATACGAATGAGCAAGATTCTGTCTTCTTGCCTTTTGAGCTCAAAAGCATGCTTACTTGCTTGATAATAGCTCAAACCGCTCGAAAGATCATTGGCCGCATCTTGTAAATGCTTGATCAATGCTGCTTTTTTGTTCTTGTTTGTCGAAGCTGCAGAACCCGTTGCCCTTGAAAGTGCACTGATCTGCGATCCTCCGATCTCGAAAAGCGGACCAGGACAGCTTGAAGGTTTCATACTGGTGGCATACGTTGTTGAAGGTATCACGCTTGACAAAGAACGAATCGTCACTTGAGATGGAGTCGAACCTTGCAAAGCACCATATCCATTTCCAAATGATGATCCATTGGCAAGATCTTGATTTGATACACTCGAAGTTGGGAAATATGTGATCAGCTTGCCATCGATTGAAAAGCATGCTAGTGGTATTTTTGCTCGGCCAGGATTGGTCTCATGTTGTTGCGCGCCTGAATGTGATCCACCGTACGAGGAAAGTGCACGATCAGCACCATATGGTGTTTGCTCATATGCTGAGCTTTGACTTGTGGGTGCATACGCCGAGTACTCATTCGTCGTTGCTGCACTTTGAGTAGCATTTGTTGCAAAGCCATAGTCATCTACTTGTCCTGCTGGAGTATAAGGTGTGTATGCATTGTCTTCTGCATGTGATTGAGGAGCATAGGGTGCGTACGCATTTTCTTCCGATTGCGATGGAGGAGCGTACGAAACATTCGCTTGATCTTCCGCAGGCGCATAAGGAGTATATCCTTGTGTTGATGGCGCATATGGATTATACAATTGCTCTTCTGGTTGCGATTGAGAGGGTGCATAAGGTGCGTACGCCTGCTCTGATGTATGCGATGGCGGAGCATAAGATGCCTGATCTTCTGGTGCGTACGATGAGTAAGTACCTTGCGATGGACGTCGGTCTTGCAAGGATGATTGCTCGTGATCTACTCCTTCTATACTTTGCCCATACTGCGGAGCGTAAGGATTTGGAGCATAACCATTGGATTGGTCTTCAGGGTTGTATGCATCTACTCCTCTCTCTTTCTCGCCATTTTGGTTGGGGCCTGAAACTTCAAAGAAATCATTCTTGGGCTCTTGAGAACCAGTGAGACCCTCTGCATCTAGCGTATCTGAATTGTCCAGGCCAATTTGGCTTACATGGCCTTCTTCATTTCCATAGACGTCCTGAGCAACAATTCCTTCTTCTACACCACCTTCGATGCCTCCATTTGAGCCAGCGAATGGTTCATTCGGCGCAGATTCAAGATTGACAGGCTCGCTGTGATCGTACGCTGATGACGCTTGAGTGCCTGAGTAGTTCTTTTGATCGGAATGATCTTGACCTGCTTCGGTAGGATATCCTTGTGTATACCCTTCGAATCCTGAATTTATCTCAGTAGTCTCTGGGTCATACGCGGCATACGAAGGTTGCTGTTGATCATGACCTTTTGTTTCTTGTTGAGGCTGCTGCTCGTACGCGCCGTATTCTGTCTGTTGTTGATGCTCCGGATTGTGATCTTGATGTCCATACTCCGGCTGTTGCTCTTGGGCGCCATGTTGCGGCTCGTAGGCGGAGTAGGTCGGCTGCTGCTGCTGTTGCCCATAATCGGATTGCTGCTGATCATAGGCTGTATGCTGTTCTTGCTGTTGTGCATAATAGTCATGACCTGCCTGAGGTTGTAATTCATTGTATGCTTCGTAACCTCCTTGCTGTTGTGGTGCATAACCATTGTATGCTGCATATTGTTGATGATCGTATGCTTGATTTTGAGGTTGATATTCGTTTTGCTGGGGCTGTTCATACGCTGTGTTCTGAGGCTGATATCCAGTCTGCTGCTGCTGATCGTAACCTGTGCTTTGCGGTTGATAGCCATTTTGCGAGTGTTGATCGTATCCAGCGTACTGATTTTGATCGTAACCAGTATATTGCTGTTGATCATAGCCCGAGTACTGATGCTGATGGTAGCCATTGTCTTGTTGAGCAGCATATCCAGCGTATTGTCCTTGATCATATCCAGCCTGCTCTTGTGGCTGCTCGTACCCGGTATACTGATGCTGCTCATGCCCAGGGTACTGTTGCTGGCTTTGATCGTAATTGTTGTACGCATATTGCTGTTCATATCCCTGTTGGCCATTCGAATCTTGTGGTGCATACGCATTGTAGCCTTCTTGGCTATAGTGATTTGCATGTCCACTCTGATCATACTGACCATAATGATCTACTTGCTGTTGATGCGAATCGTTCGCTGGCTCCTGCGCTGCATCTCCACCTAGCCAATCATCATTGCCAGTGGGATTTGGCGGTCCAAAAAGATCCGATGAAGACTTATCAGCGAACAAATTACTTGGAGTATGTGGGCTTGCAAGGCTAGCTGTGGCTTGATCTGCGTTGTTAGAAGGGATGGCCAGATTTGATGGAATATTATGTGATTCTGTGACGTTCGTATGGCCGAGACTAGAAGAGCCATTATTGTGCTGATCTTGCGCTGGAGCATGTCCATTTGTCGAGAATGGATCATGAGATTCTACTGCTTCTGCTGCTAGTTCAGGCTCTTCTTCGATCGCACCAAAAGATGCAAATGGGTCATCTGAACCTCCTGCAAAGAGCATCGCTGCGTTAGCCACGCTTTGTTTTGCAGCATGACCTCCTAGTCTTGAATTTGGATTGTTCTGTGATATCGTTGAACCATCTTGAGAGGCAGGAGTTGTGGCCGCTGTTTCTGCAGTTGAGGCAGGTGTATGTACAGTTGAATCCATTGTGCAGTAAGGATAGAATACAGCTTTCTAGAGAAAGGAGCTTTCCCAAACCTTGTCCACGTCACCAAAGAGGGTAAAGTCGATCCGGTAGCTAACCAAAAGCAAAGAAAAAGATGATGACCAATCTGATATTATACCAAAAAGGGTCAGATGAAGGGGGAGACGCTTAAGATATTGAATCAGAAGTGATGACGTTTATGTGGACCTGATTATACTTTTGCGCGCTATTCCTAGGAAAACGGCTCATGCATACAGTGATATTGTGCCTGAAAAAAGGGTGAGAGAAAATGAACCAGCGCCGAACAACTCGGCCCAGAAATAGTGTCAAGAAGGCTTTTGATTGATTAATTGGAAGAAGTGCGGAGAGAAGCTTTTCTCATATCATCAATGCGCTTGCCCATAATGCGCGCCCGCATCGCTTTCATTTCGTGAGGGCGTGTGCGTGCTGCTTGGCTTCAGAGCTCATACGCCTTTGCTGTATGAAAACGCTGATTACCGATTAGCCGGAGCGGCTGTCTAACCTTATTACCGGAAATAAGAAGAAGAAGATTAGCAATAGCATTCATTCACTTCTTTCTCTTTCCTTCCAACACATTCAACAACAAAAGATGTCTTCCACGAAGAAGAGGTCAAGGGCTACGCTGGCCACTGTCAATTTTGACGCTGGCTTACGATCCTCTTTGGTTCATTTGCCAATCGCTCTTTATGGTCCTTTACTGGAAAGAGGTGTACCTCCTCAATCAATCGTTGTTGAATTGGTACGATGTGATCATCAAGGCGATGAAGTGGAAATGCAGGGCAACGTGGATAAGGTGTATGTCGGATGGAGCGGGATGAGCGCTGCTTTACCATCCGCTGCAAGTTCAGGTACATTCTCGGCATCCTCTTCTCAAGCTACTTCGGTTGTTGCAATGTCACCTACTTTAGCAACTACATTCTCTCCTATACTGACAGATGGATCATTCGTTAAAATCACTTTGCTTCGATCACCTCCTCTACCTACAGCAAGTCGTGTGGACGTCGTACCACTTACACCGGATGATTGGGAAATTCTCAGCTTAAATGCAGATGAAGTGGAGAATAATATGCTAGGTCAAGTACGTGCTGCACGAACAGGAATGACGATCGCCGTTCATGTTGGTAGACAAGGACGAACAGTTTGCCGCTTTCGTGTAGAATCATGCGATCCTCCTACACAATCTTACGATGACGATGCGGATTCGACATTGGCCAGAGCTGTACGTCTTTCGACGGATACAGAAGTGGTCATCGCTCCTAGAACTCGAAAAACAGATCAAGCAACAAATGAACAGGCTGAAGAGTTGGATTTTTCGTCTAATAAATCGAATGGAAGTAACCAATCAGGCAGTAGTACCTCTTCTTTTGCAACTCCTTTGGCCGCTCAACAATACCTTGCTTGCTCGCCGTTCCGAATCTTACCCTCACGATATGCTAAACGACTGACTTCATCTCGTCTTGCGCCTGTGGTGCTTCATCCTGATGATGCGCAGATATTGTCAATCGCATTCGGTCAAGCACTGAATAACGGACAAGGTCGTTGTTCTATCACAAAGATGCCGTGTCCGGCAGCACCTCAAATCTTTGCTTCTGCTTCTTTAGATTCTGAAGCTAGCAATTCTGCAAACCGATCGTCTACCCTACACAAATCATCAAGTCAGTCTACAGAAAACACAGAAGCAACGCAGGATGGGAACGCATCAGGAAACGGGGCAGCTCCATCAGCAACGCCAAGCCGAGCAACAACAAGCAGCTATTTTGCTTCTGCTAATCCTGAAGATGCTGTCGTTGGTAATGTATGGCCTAGAAGGCAGGTCATTGTTTCAGAAGAAGTAAGGAGGAAGCTTGGCTTGCATGACTTTGACCTCGTTCGATTTTCATCCCCATCTCCGATCGGCAGTAGTGCTGCAACGACCTCTCGTCCAAGCTCACCAAGCGCTGAGCTGGAAAGAGACGAGCAAACGGTTTTGGCAGGGTACGATAAAATATTGGATACATGTACAGATGCAATCTCAAATGCATTCCGTATCTGCCGATGGGAATCAATGCGATCTGCAATGCAGCCCAACAAATCCAGCCAACTTTCTACGCTACATTCCGGTTTGCTTTTAACAGGAAGTCCAGGCTCCGGAAAGACGAGTGTTGCAAAAGTGGTTGCAGATCGACTATCGAATTCGTCTTTATTGGTTTCTACTATCTATATCGACTGCACCCCTCATAATGAAGAACGACTTTCATCTATGCGGGCATTATTCGATCAATGGCTAGCATCTGCTATTTGGCATAGCCCTACACTTTTGATTCTGGATAATCTGGACAGGATCATGCCGGCCGATCAAGAACATGTCGATAGTCCAAGAAGTGCACAAATCGCAGAAGCATTGATGCATCGTATACGTGAAGTTGCGGCACAATATTCAATCTTTGTTTTGGCAACCGCTCAATCCAATTTGAGCATCAATAAGGTATATGCGATCCATCACATCTTTGGTGAAAACGTGGAATTGAAAGCGCCAATGAAAGAAGGTCGTCGTGATATCTTGAACTTTTTGGTAGCCAAAAGGAAACAAATCATTCCGCAAGAATTAAACTTCACCACAATCGCTGGCCAGACGGAAGGGTATATGCCGGCGGATTTGCGCGATTTGGTGGAAAGAGCTGTTCATCAGTCTGCTGTGCGAAGTTTGAAGCAAAGGCAACGAAGAGGTGTAGAAGCAGGATCATCCAATGTCCGCTCATTGATGATGGAAGATTTCGATGAAGCACAAAAGGGCTTCACACCATTGTCATTACGTGATATTAAATTGACACAATCAGCCACGAGATGGAGCGATATCGGAGGATTACAAGAGACCAGACGAGTACTACGCGAGACATTAGAGTGGCCCACAAAGTACGCCAAAGTGTTTGCACAATGTCCGCTCCGATTACGATCTGGATTGTTATTGTATGGCTATCCAGGATGTGGTAAAACTCTCTTGGCCGGTGCAGTAGCAAGGGAATGCGGATTAAACTTCATCAGTGTCAAAGGTCCAGAAATTCTTAACAAGTACATTGGTGCAAGTGAAAAGAGTGTAAGAGATCTGTTTGATCGCGCTCAAGCTGCAAAGCCGTGTGTGTTGTTCTTTGACGAATTTGACTCTATCGCGCCTAAACGTGGACATGATTCAACCGGTGTTACCGATCGTGTGGTGAATCAACTGCTAACCCAAATGGACGGTGCGGAAGGGTTATCAGGAGTTTATGTTCTGGCAGCTACTTCAAGACCTGATCTGATCGATTCAGCTTTGTTGAGACCGGGTCGTTTGGATAAATCATTGTTGTGCGATTTGCCGAGTGAAGAAGATCGATTGGACATCTTGCAAGTTCTTTGTGGAAGCAATCGTATTCGTTTGTCTGAAGATGTTGATCTGAAAGCATGGGCTAAACGTACACAAGGCTTCAGTGGTGCTGATTTGCAAGCTTTGGTATATAATGCTAATTTGGAAGCTATTCATGAGGGTATGAATGCAGCAAAGACTTCCGATGAGGAGAAGAAAGAGCAAGCTAATGGAGACAATAATGGTTCAGGAAATGGTTCAAATGCGAATAACATTCGGTTCGTCAATTTTGGAGGATCAAAGAAGGGTAAATCGACTACTTTGAGCGGAGCAGAAAAGCAAGCATTGCAACGAAGGATGGAATTGATTTTGAACAATTCACGTCAAAATGCGAATGCGAGCGCGAGTGTCGAAGAAGATTTTACCAAGCAAAACATCGATACAGAGAAGAAAAAGGACACTTCCGTTATGGTAACTGAAGCACAATTACAACGTTGTTTACGTTCAACACGACAGAGTGTACCAGCAGGGGAAGCCAAGAGATTACGCAAAATCTATCAACAATTCGTTGGTGAAAGAAGCGGAGAATTTCCAGACGGAGAAGCGAGTAATGAAGTGGGAGCTCGACAATCTTTGATGTAATCATAATTAGCAAAAGAATAATCTAATCAAGGCCATGGCCATATCCATCATGATAGCTTTAATCGATACAGTTCACAATGCGTGCTCCTTCATACATGAATTCTATCCGACGCTTTCTCTACATACACCTTCTTTGAATGTCATCTGAGCCATTAAATCAGTAAATCAGTGTCAATCGCCCGCCTTCAGGTACGCGTATTGAAGAAGGGCTAATGGCAGCCTCAATTATCAGTGCGGGGGAAGAAGAAATGTCCAACACCTTAACTTCCATGTCAAAATGCTGAATAGGAGCACGTTATGGTCATCTACGATCGCATTGACATATATAGCTATTGCAGCTATAGCTTCTCAATTAGTCAATGATATTGTACCTCAGCCTTATCTAGACGAAATCTTTCATATTCCACAAGCACAACAATATTGTAAAGGTGAATTTGCAAAGTATGATCCTAAATTGACAACACCTCCGGGTTTATACATCGTCTCCCTCATTCAAGGTCAAATTGGCAGCTTGCTTGCTCTCGGGACTGGAACATTGAATTCAAAGACATGTCAAAGCGTCTCGCAACTTCGTCAAACTTCATTGTTTGCCTTGTTTTTATTACCCTACATCTTGGCATCGTACTGTCTTGCAACTCCTGCCAATGTGACAATAACCCAAGACAGGAATGTGAAAGTTGGATGGCAAAGGACAAGTGTACCAATCAGTCCAATGGAAGCAATCACACGTGCAGAGGCGAATCCTACCTTAGCTGCCCAGACTGCCAGATCAAATGTATCGGTAAAAGAAGCACAGATTCATGCAAAACGCAGGAAAGGATGGTGGGGATTACCGACACGAATGTTGGATGATATCTTATTGACAGCCAATGTTCATACGATATCTTTCTTGCCTCCTATGTGGTTCTTTGGATTGCTATATTATACAGACGTTCCAAGTACTTTATTCGTTATGGCTATGTTGGCTGCCAGTAAGCGTAATGAGAATCTTTTGGCTGCTCTTTTGGGAGCGATATCTCTCACTCTACGACAGACGAACATCGTTTGGATATTGTTTGCTATGGGAACGTCGGCATTGAGTAATCTTTCGACCATTGGACTGGATACTCGACCTCTTTCTCAAACAAGTGTCATTGAGCAACTCAGAAGCATCACATCTTTACCTGCTCTCACCGCAATTCGCATTCTATCTCAAACTGCGATGCCGTATATACCCGTCTTTGGAGCAAGTGCAGCTTTTATCCTGTACAACGGATCTATTGTCTTGGGAGACAAGGAGCACCATCAAGTCTCCACGCATTGGGTACAACCATTCTATTTCGCTGCTTTTGCGAGCTTTTTTGCTTGGCCTACATTACTCATTTCTCTCAATAGAGCGAGGAGGGGATTTCATCTGAGTACACTTCGCATATTAGGCGAGATTGTCAGCCTTGCGTTGATCTTTTCGATCGCTTTGGCAGCAGTACAATACGGCACTGTGGAGCATCCTTTCATTTTGGCGGACAATCGTCATTATGCTTTCTACTTTTGGCGAAAGATCATCAAGAGGACTGATTGGGCAAGATATGCATTAGCAATACCATATACCATCTCAATCAGAGCATGGTGGATAGCACTTTCTCAGCATTTCTCTTTCTTCTGGCTGGTCGGATTTTGCATGTGTTTATCGGCTGCTGTTATCCCTTCCCCTTTGATTGAGCCGCGGTACTTCATGATTCCATTCATTATCGCTCGACTTGGATTGATGCAAAGCACAAAACCTTCTGAGCCGACTGTGGGAGGAAGTCGGCAATCTCTCGTAAAGCTCAACGACATCAGCAAACCATTCTTCAACGCATGTCTCGTAGAAATGATCTGGTTTGCTTTAATCAATGGATCTACACTATACCTATTCCTATACAAGCCATTCCGCTGGCCAGATTCTATAGATTGGCAAAGATTCATGTGGTGACAAATGTGCACTAGAATTGATTGCTGTAAATGTAATAATATTGTACAATGTTGTGGGTTGTGAAGCAAACGACCGATCATTCGTCGTCTTCTCTGTCTTCGCGGAAGCGAGGATTCTGGAAAGAAGTTGCGTGTTAGCAATGAAAGAATAGTGCAAAAAATCTGTAGTTCACTCACTTTATAACTCTCATCTCCTTCGTCATCATCGTCTCTCTGTCTCTTGGGAGGCTGTTGAGGATCGGCTTGACCATTGCCAAGGCCAGCACCCGTGCCTGTCCGCTCCCATGCTTCTCTTTCAACATAAACACCTTCTGCTCCTGTTGGCACAACACGACCACCTTGTTCTCTTTCTTGACTGAGATAAACTTCTTCGTGTTGCCTGCGTCGCCTGTTCTCCATCTCTTCTGCAATCTTTCTCTCCTCTTCTTCACGTAACCGAATATGTCCCCATCCACCTCTTCCTGCATCAAATTCTTGTCTGTACTCATCACGAACCTGTCCACCTGATCTTCCACGACCGTATTGCCTACCTTCCTTGTAGCCTGGATCCAAATCACAACGAATGATACGTTCGTCCAATTTTGTACCTGACACCAAGCGCATACAATCGACTGCTTCTGCATGTGTATAAAATTCAACAAATGCAAAACCACAAGGAGTTTTTTGATTTCTATCTAAACCCATAATGATACGTCTTATTCCTCCTCCTTTACCTGGATCGGCGACTCTACTAAATAATTCGTACATTTGTTCTTCTGTTGTAAAAAAGCTCAAATTACCGATATACAAAGTTGCCGTACTTTCTAATGCTTGTTGTTGTTCCCATTTACTTTGTGTACTTCTCGAATCACGATAGCTGGATGGAGCATCCAATGCGTCTACCACATGTGCCATCTTGACGATGATGGAAGATGTATGCGTGAAAGAAGAAAAGTGTATCGCGGTCACTGTGCTCGGTTGTTTTCTTTTGTGGGCGCCGCTAATTGATTGACTTCCTTCTCCACGCACAAAAATTAAGGTTGAATTGCGTAATTTTGCCCGATTGTACTTCTTGTGCATAATTTACTGCCATCATCAACTAGCAAAAGAGGAATTATTCCTTGAGCCTATATCTGGCCTCACCCTTGTGATATGCTCGTTCAAGATGGAGTTGGGAATCTTACGTGTACTTTTGGTACGACATGGAATGAGTGAAGATAATCAAAATGCTATCTGGGCAGGTCACAGAGATTCACCGCTATCCACAACAGGTGTCAATCAAGCCAAGTCATTGGGTTTATCTTTGGCAGATTACAGCTTTCAAGGTATCTATTCTTCTGACCTAAAGAGAGCAAGCAGTACTGCCGAAGCCATCCTTTCTGCCAATCGTACAACACCTCCTCCACCTCTTGTGCAAACGCAATCGTTACGTGAACAGAATTTCGGTCAAGCAGAAGGTAGGAATTGGAATGATGCAGAGTTGGTAAACCTGACATCAAACATGCTGGGTGAAGATGCAAGAACATTCAAATTTCCCGAAGGAGAATCATTGGAAGATGTGAATGCAAGAATGGCAGCTTCTTTAAGACGATACGTTTTACCTCGTTTAGAAGCACTTCGATCGGGAAACGAACGTGGAGAACCACAGATTGTCATTGTTGCACATGGAATTGCCATAGCAGAAATGTTGAGAGTTTTGATTAACTTACATGAATCAAGCGATAATGGTCCTTGGCCTGATCCTCATGAATCCTACAAACGTGTTCGTTTGGAGAATACTGGATGGACATTGGTAGAATTGGCTGTTCCTCATCTGGATCCAGAGAATACACCCAACAATACTTTGTCGGAAAGCGTTCAACGACGAGTGTACTATGTTCGAATCGTTCAACAGAATGTAACGGATCATTTGAGAGGTTCGCTTCTGCCTGCACCTATACAACATAGCGTACCATTGGTCGGAGGAGCGAGTACATCGAGTACGGCAGGTTCATTGCTAGGTGGCGGTAGTGGAGGCAATACCGTTGCTACAAGTGATTCTAGTCATTCCCTTGCCGCAACGGCTGATAATGGCCCAACATCACCTTCGGTTGCATTCCTAACGTTGAGACCTGTCATTCCAAGCAAAGCAAGGGATGATATTGAGCGATCGGCAAGCTTGTTAGGATCTTCTCTAAACTCTACAGTAAATCAAGCAACTACTCCAACAGCATCGCTGGCCAACATAGTCATCCCTTCTGCGGTGATGATCAGTGGTCCTGGAGCATGGAACGAGCTTTGGCAAACGCTTTGCTTTCAAGTTGTGACACTGTTTAACAGTGAAGATCCGCGGATCATCATCGAAGAGGTGAACGAAAATGTAAGCGACCATGTTCGAAGATGCCTGGAGCGAAGTCCTGCTCGAGCATCAGATGCACTGATGAAAGATCTTTATTCTTTATGTACGACCGGCATTTCTGTTCTTAACGCAAAGCTAGACCAAATACCAGGATCAGAGGATGTTCGATTATTGGAAGCTTTGGTGGATATTTGGAAAAGATTTCATTGGAGAATCTTGCCTTACTTGGAAGCATTCTTTATACCCTTGCAAACTGATGCAACTCTCGTCAGCTTGACTCGCGGCGGAGACAATCCGAATTCAGCTTTGCGAACTGAGCCGATCAACGTTTCACGTATCATTTTGACCGTCTTTCGAGATCAATTACTCCTAACACGATCGGAGAGATTGTTTATGGCGTTTGTACAGATGGAGGAGCTGGAGAAGAAGCATACGGCTATGCTTGCAAACGGTACGAGTAAAGTACGCAGCAGTGACGATCTTGATGATATCTTGGGAAGTGAAGGTGAAGGATATGATGATGAATCACAACAGATATACCCAAGACTTGCACAAATGACGCATATTTTAGTCGGAGTACAAAGTCAAGATGAAAAACAACAAGAGATGGATAATTTGGTAAGAGCTTTACGTGCTGGACACGAAAATAAATTTGAAGATAAGATTACCGTCAAAGCAGCAGGCGTAAGTGGATTGGGTTTGGGAAATTCTTCTTTGACGGCCGATTTGAGTAACGGAAGTGGATTGTTATCACGTAATGCAAAGAGACAACAAGCAAGGCAAGGCTGGCTACCAAAGAGTGCATCAAAGAAAGGGAATTTATCAACGTCCAATGCAGCTGATTCGGCTGGAGATGCGAACGCTACTGAAGAATCCTCACAATTGACGAGTGCCGCTGCAGGCAAGGAAGAAAGTGTCTTTCTATCTTCTTTGCGATCACCTACGATCGATGAAGATGAGGTTGGCCAAGCAGGAGGCGTGTCGGATGCACACGAAGTTCAAAGTGGTGATGTTCACAAGGTGTCGCCCTTTGTTGATGACGAAGTGGACGACATTCATGCAGATCAATCTCGATCTGGATCATTTGCAGACACGTCATTCAGAACGCAAGGATCTGCGAATGTCGGATTAGGATTACCGATGGATCAAATGGGTGATACAACGTTTGGATGACAATGTATGTGTTTGATAGGAACCACTTTTTATGTATTGTAGAGAAGACGTTTCAATAGAGATGAAGAATTGTTCATGACTACCAGCACCATGGTCCACTGTGAAGATGAAAGACAATGTTAGCCTACCATCACAAGAACGATCACAGAAGAGCAACTTACCCCAGGCAACCCCTTTCCTCGTTCTTTGCCTGTACTTTTCGGATTTCAAAAGGATGCGATAGTTTTAGATCTTGATATGAGAAGGGTTACATCAGCATAGCCTTTTCTTGATTGTCTCCGAGTTCACTCACCTCGAATTTCAGGTTGCTGAGTTGGGATGTAGGCAGAAGACACCATGGCAGGCGATAAGAGCATACAGACTGCCAAAATGAGGATGAAAAAGGTTGCAGTAAGTTTCATTTTGATGAAAGGAGTTTAGAAGAGAGAAGAAGAAGAGATTGTGATGGGGAATTGCGAAGTTCTTTTTACCTTCCTTTGTCATCTTATATAGCTTTCTTGTATGTATGCAGATGCAAGTAGAATATGACACCAGTCACTTTGCATACGGTATGACTTCCTTCCTATTGATCTGCATACGGAAACCCGTGAACAAATTCCCCGTTGTGGCTTTTCTACGGTCAGTTCCGTTAGTCGTGCTGAAAGATAAACAAACAAATGATATGTTTGTTTCTAAAGTAGTCTCATATGCCGGTCCGACTTGCATCAACATTCATGCAGATCATCGTACTGGTATCAATGCGTGGGCTAATTATTCTATGGTACATGTAAGTAAGAATACAAAATGATATACACTTTTTGTTATGGTTCGGGATACCGGGACACATCTAGTCTACATTTCGTGCAGCTTGACGTGCAGCACGCTTCTTTTGTGCTTCTTCACTTTGATCTGGTCCACTTCTCGATAAGATACCTCTTTTGTACATGGCATTCTTGTGTACCTTTCCATGGATATGATCTTGCCATTTAGCCCTGAGCACCATTTGCGGTTCCGAGCCTGGCTCATCGGGCGTACAGATAGGACAAATCACAAACGATAATCGATCGTCGGTTGAACTTTGGTCATCTGCAGTACTTGCATTTATAGCTTTCTTTCTTGACTTCTTAGCTGGAGAATTAGATGTTGGAATGGGTATAGTCTTCTCCAACGGTAAAGGTGCATCATTCAAGAAAGCTGCGGAGGCAAATCCTGTCAGATGAGAATCAGTTGGTTATACATCATCACCTACTCACCGTCTATAATGTCACTCGCAGGTTGATTGACATTTTCTTGCCATTGGTTTGGATCGGTTGCATCTAAAATGACGAGTCGAATACCCTTACTCGCTTTACGACCGATATCTGGGGCTAATCGATTCCTTAGCCAACTGATCTGTCGTTTGGCATACTGACGAGTAGCCAATTTCATCGATTCAATTGCATGGTCGAACAATTTCCTGCCTTGATCATCGGATGGGTCAGGAATAAGATCCGAAGTACCATCCAAAGAGCCAAAAGTTCTTTCTCTATGCGTTAGATATTCATCAAACTCCTTATAACCAATCGTTTGGAAGATCCCACGGGTATAGTCGACTGCATTATCTCCTCTTGACTGTTCCAATGAACGGGCGATAGATCGTAATTCAACAATCTCTTGCAAAAGGCCCCTTTCGATCATCTTGTCAACCCGTTTGTCTAACCTTTGACGTAAAGTATTTAAATCACTGTAAATCCAAATTACCATCCTCTCTACACCACCACCACCACCATCCTCTTCTTCCCCTTCTTCCACTTGTTCCTTTTCACGTTGTTCTTCATACCATTGTGAATGTCGTTTACCCGTTTCAAGCAAAACATTCAATGATCGACGAGTTTTACGAGTGTCTCGATAATGCCATCTCGATGCCATCTTTGGATCCAACACGTTCAACAACTTCCACAATTGCAAAGCTGATGGGTCGTGATCATCAGACTTTTCTGATAACCTCAAGAGCAATTGTCGTTGTTCATTCTCAAGAGGAACACCCAACGAAGCAAGAATCTGATCGACAGTATCCTCGGTAACAGCATTCGCTTCCTTTCCACCATCGCTATCACTGTTGTCAACGTGCTCTCGTTTGTCGTCATCCATCGAAACAAGTTTCCCCGGCAAGAGCAAGTGTTGAAGGTAGTAATTCGTTCCACCAACAATGATAGGAACATAATCAACGTTAGGATCATCATGCAACCTTGTTATGATTTGATTGGCTTTTTGTATGAATGTACCAACGTCACATTCATCGCCAAGTCTTGGGTCCAAGACGCTCAACATATGATGTGGAACATCTTCCATCTCTTGTCTTGTTGCCTTATTTGTAATTACATCTAAACCTTCATACATTTGCATACTATCTGCAGAGATAATCTCTGACCCCATTCGTGTGTCGTCGTGAGCGTGATTAGTGATGTGTTGAGCAAGCTCCACGGCTAGTTGTGATTTGCCGGTACCCGTGCTGCCGCAGACGGCGATCAGCTTCTTACGCCGTGTCGAAGCAGGAGGTAGGGTAACGTTACCCGCTCCGTTAAGGTTTGGATCCTGTCCCATCAATGGCAGGATCAAAGCAGGAGGTAGGGTCGTCACGTCACCCGCTCCCTTGAGGTTTTGGTCCTGTCCCATCAACGGCAGGATCGAAGGGGGAGGTAGGGTCGTCACGTCACCCGCTCTGTGAAGGCTCAGGTCCTGTCCCATCAGCGGCAGGATGGCAGAGATCAGAGGGATGTTGTTGACCTATTCAATTTGATAATTGTGTGTGAGAGTACAGCATGTGGGGAAAAGGGATGGAAGAAAACTATGATGAGAGACCCAAATCCTGAAAAAATGAAAAGATGCAATAAAACGACGTAATGAGAAAAAACGCCGAAATAAAACACACATGACAACACGTCGTACTCACAATTTCAATCATCGCAGCCGCGATTGGATGGTAAAATGACTTGTTCTTGATGAATGTTTCTCGAGCCAAAGTCGGGTCCACCTTGAACAATGATCGGAACAAGGGACGACAGTACTTCATACGACCTTGTTTGGAAACCCAAGCAGCGGCTTCTTGAGTGTACTTGCTTTGTTTGTCTTGCAAAGCCACGACATAGAAGTTGAATCGGATTTCGGTGTTCTTGTCCTTGCCAAAGCCATACAGTTCATCGATTCGACTGGCAACTTGAGCAGGTACAGTCACATCCTTGTTTGCTCGTACTTCGCTGAGGAAAAGAACGATTTGATTGGGATCCCAACCTGAGATGTCCTTCGGGCTAAAGTCTTCCTTTGTTGACTTACCGTTGATCACGTCCAACCATCTGTTGGCGAGCTTGTAAGCTTGTTGTGCAAGTGCTCCTTCAAAGTTCACCTCGGCGGGCAATTGTTTACCCTCGCCGTTGAACCATTCATCCCACTTGACCGTGTTCAACTTTTTCGTGATCTCCTCATTGCCTGCATAGAAGTCGAACAAATGTTGTTTCCATTCTTGCGTAGAGATGCTTCGATCGTAGAAAGCTTTGAAGTAACTGCGAATGAAAGGCAGAAAGTTGTCTAATCCGCCCACGAGACGTTCAAGGTACAGGATGAACAAAGATCCCTTCTCGTATGGAATCGAGCTAAAGGCATCATCTGGGTCCTCTCCTTTCTCAAAGACAGGAACAAGTCTTTGGAACCTAGTCACAGAAGAGAATTGATCCACGGCATCCTCAAATGCTTTGCGTCCGATAATGTAATGCAATTCACGAATTGCTGGTCCAGATTCAGGGCCATGGACAACAGATAGCAACAAGCGCTCGATCCAGACATTGATACCTTCATTCAGCCAGAATGATGACCAATTTGCGCATGACGTCAAGTTACCAGACCAACTATGACCTAGTTCGTGTAAAAGAACATCTGTTTGGCTGCGATCACCAGAAATTAGAGTGGGTGTCAATGTTGTCAAATTTGCATTTTCCATACCACCGTATGGGAATGAAGGCGGAAGAACGACGCAATCGTAACGAGTCCAAGAATAAGGTGAGATAGTCTGCTCAGCAGCAATCAGGAATCGATTTGCATCTTCTTTGAATTCCCACTCTGCTCGATCGATCATAGTAGGCTCTGCCCAAACACCAACACGCGGTGCCAATTCTCGGAAGACGAGATTTCCACCGACGATTGCGATCAAATAGGATGGGATACCGATCGGCTGACGGAATCTATAAACGCCAAGGCCGTCCTCGTCTTGTGATAATCTAGCTTCCCCGAATTTTGTTTCGGATGCACGAATTGAACCATCAGCCAAAGCACTCATCAATACTGGATATTTGCTCTTCACCTTGGAAGTGTATGTGATTTTGTGCGAAGGAGAGTCAACGCAAGGGATCATTGCTCTGGCGTGAATGGCTTGTGCTTGTGAATATAAGAAAGGCATGGAGCCAGATTCAGTTTGTTCTTTGGCCAACCATCCTAAAGCTGTACACTTTTCGGTTGTACTATAATCGATCACGATTTCCACTTCATCACCTTTGTTTTTGCGTTCACCAAGTTCAATGTTCAATGGACTTCCTAATGTACCATCTCGTTTACCCAATTCAAACTTGGCATCCTTTTGTTTGCCATCGGGTTGAAGGATTGCGATGCTCTTGATGTCTAAGAAACTGGTATCTAGTACGATTTTATCTATTCCATCTTTGATAATCTTTATCGAATGCTTCACTGTACCGGTCAAGACTTTCTTATCCCAATCAACAGTCCAATCGATATCAATATGACCAGGTCGGAAATCCGTCAAGTTGGCATGTGTGTGAATGTCTACATGGGTTTCGGGAAAGTCCTTAGCTGGAATATCACCAGGTGCAGGTGCACTCCAGTTGCTTTGAACGGATGCTGCCATACTTGCAAATGATCGTGAAGTAAAAGAAAGGGTGGACAAAGAGACAGAGGCAGAAAGTCGTTTGTTTTGCAGTTGTGCTCTAGGTTGACAATATACCGGAAAGCGTGAACGGAGGAGATGACGGAGAGGAGATCGAAGAGTATGTCGTGTGATCAATGATGAGGTAGCTTGCATGAAGATCAACTTTCTACCAGCAAAGTAGAAAGAGGTGGTAGAAAAGGAGCTGTTCAGGTAGGCATTTAGGGATTAAACTTCTTTTCTTTTTCGCCTAGACCACATGGTCAAGCGTGCGAGTGCATTTGTGGGCGGGCGTATCTCTCTTCTTTGGCGTTTAATAGGCGGACGTTGGGGAATTGATTCAAAGCCGCGACCGGCACATTAGGGAAGAAAATGCGAGATAGTAACCGGCGCGTAAAGGAATATTAGTGTTGGTTAAAGCAGTACAATACCGTGTTGGTCAGATCTTCTCCACGGTCATCCTTCTTGCTCAACTTCATCGTCCCTTTGATAACAGTCGATCTCATTGGATCGGCAAATACAATCACGTCAATCATCATTGCAACGTATTGTAAAGCGGTGACGAGGAGGACATTGAGACAAGGTACAGCACAACCTTCTTTGAGAACATCATTCAAGGTTTCATCTCCTACGGCCGTTGTTAAGCAAATACGTTCATTTACCAATAGCAATACAACAGCTTCACAACCTTTACCGAGAAGACCTTCACCTCCTCCAGGTCCATACGCTCTTCCTATCGGCACGAAAATGGTTCAAGCAAATTTATTAGAACGTCTATCACAGGCGCTCATAAAGATCAATCAAACATCACCTCGTACGATTGCTTCTCCCCCTACGCAACCGAGAAGAGCGAGTGTAGCCATCTTGATTCGCGTAAGACCAAACGAAGCAGATGATGAATGGTTAAGTGAACAATACGATGCCGATGGTCAACCTTTACCCGGCAGTGAGGCTGAAAGGATCATGTCTGCATCTGCAAGTCAGTTAGAATCATCGAGCAATACGAATCAAACACCTGCTAGTGGAAGTCATAGCATGGATCATGATGCATCTTCATCGGATCCAAAAGCAGGTCAACGTGGTGCGGCAGACAGTTTCACATCTGATAGCAAATCCTTCCCCTCCGCTGGAGATGCTTCTTTTATGGGTGCAAGTGGAATTTCAGGTATCACCGATGCGCCAATAGAAGGTCTTGAACAGTCTGGTATAGATCTTGCAGGAGAGTCAACGGGTGACCTAGGTTCTCGATCCGCTGCTAAAGCTTCATCTACTTCTTCACAACAAGGCGGCAACGCTTCTGCGACCGGCGCAGGAGCTTCGAATTCGGGAATATCCTCTTCTACCTCATCAGAAGTTGCTGCTACACATATGACTCTACAGCGATTCTTCTCCTTGCCATGGGTACGTAGAGGTCAAGCAGAAGTGCTTTATATCAAACGTGCTTCGCGTGATACGGACAAATGGTCAGCACATGTCGCATTCCCTGGCGGTAGAAAAGAAGAAGGTGATGAGAATGGATTGTATACCGCAATGCGCGAGACGTGGGAAGAGATTGGATTGGACTTGGCTGAGAATGAGTTTGTCAACGTAGGCAAATTGGATGATCGCGAGATCACAACAAGTTTGGGAAAGAGACTTTTGATGGTTTTAAGCCCTTATGTTTTCGTTCAAACTTCGCCATTTTCACCCATTCCCGATTTACAGCCTTCAGAAGTGGCATCAGCACATTGGATCCCACTTTCTTTGCTATATACACCTACACCTAAATGGGGCGTCACATCGGTCGATATTGCTTCACGTCTTGCACCCAAATCTCCTGCTGTTCGGTGGGCATTACGGGTCCTGGTGGGAAAGATGGATTTCAGGTGTATCTTGTTGCCCAATAAACCTATCGCAGTAGCCGAAACAGATGAAGACGATGAAGTTGTTTCACCTAGCATCAACCCTAATGGAGAATTAATCGGAGATTCAATACACGGAATCGAACAAGGCGAAAGACCTGAACTCAAATTATGGGGATTGACGTTAGGAATGACCTTGGACCTCCTAGCACAAATGTCATCTATACCGGGTGCAAAACCATCTGCCGTCAAAGCACAGGAATCCTTGCCAAGCTTTTCGCATTTATTACGTGAGCCAATGCCAACTGCATATACGATTGTGGCCAGATTACGAGATGAATTACACCTTAGCCCTCCTCCGGCGGCTACTGCAATGGCGCCTTCGATGACGAGCGTTTTTCCGCGCTTTAGTTATCCTGATGTTAATTTTTGGATTTGGGTATTTGGATGGAGATACAGAACGATTGTAAGATCGTGGGAACGTAATATTGGAACAGGATTAGAACAAACGGTAAATTGGAGTGGAATGGCTTTGGGAGCTTTTTATTCTGCCGTTCGTAGGGCTTTGGTGGTCGCAATCTTACTTCGAGCTTTAGGATTTTTATCAACATTTTCCGTCGCATTTTGGTTAACAGGACGTAGGATTCGACGAAGTAGACGTGGACAATCTGGTTTCGGATTAGATGAATTGTTGCCTCAATAGTTGTTGTGATCATGTCTAGAGTAATATTATTTTTTTTAATCCGTTGACAGGCTTGCACGGGCCATTACATGCAAAACACACCACCACGCGAATGATTAAAGTTCAAAATAAAGAATAGCATATCCCTTCCAAACTCATCTTCTAACCATCCTTGCCTAATCTTGGCAATCGCAGTGATGCAGAACCCAGACGAGAATGAGACTCGATCATCAGCAGACTCAAAGGCGAGCCTGCAAGATTCTTTTGCTCCTACCACACCTAGAGCACAAGGTAATGTTGCTTTGCATCCTTTTGGCACAGAAGGATTTGGAAGTGAACCAAATGTTGGTGATTCAACGATGAAGCTTGACAGTACTCCAAAGCCAGATACGAGCATTCGTAGTAGATACGCCGACGAAATCGGACAAGGGGTAAATATTGCTTCCTCTTCAAGTCTTTCATTAGATCAATTAGGAAGGATAGGAAGCAATGGTAGCAGTAGCAACAATAGCAGTACAGGAAATTTAAGTGGTAATGGAACATCCAACGTTGAGAGTACAAAAGAAGCATGGAAGAAGCGAAAGCAAGTCTTATTGGCAGAAGCAAGAAATCAAGTTCCGGCCGATCTGCAGTTACACGGACTGCGACCGCCAGCACCGCATTCGGATGCTTATCATGGCTTGGATCAAAGACCGCATGTTCGGCCATTGGAAGGTGCACTTTCTTCGCTTGGCGATTCATCTTCATCTACATTGGCTCTAAGTGCAATTCGTGCTTCACAGCAATCTGCAATCTTGCGTTGGCAAGATGGTAATATACGCGATGATATGCTACGAATAATTGATCAATTTTTAGAGGAAGAAGGGATGGGCGCAACTCGACAAATTTTGGCGGAAGAATGGAGTGGAAAGGTACGAGAGCGGGATGAATCGGCAGGAGATGCGAGAAAATTACGGAAAGCAATCTTGGAAGGAGCATATGAGGAAGTCGATAAACTTTTATCGAAACCTTTGGTGAGAAGCAGTAATGCGTTTAAATATGCCGTATTCAAGCAACAATACTTGGAGCATATCGAATTGAGAGAATACCAAAAAGCATTCACGTTTCTCAACAAACGTTTAAGGGAGCTGGAGCATTATCAACCCTTTGCCGGTGAATTCAGAGATCTTTGTTATCTTTTGAGCGGAAAGAGTATCAGTGATGCACCCTCTTTCAGAGCCTGGGAAGGTGTTCGACCGGCAAGAGAAGCGTTGGTCGCTCAATTTAGCGATTTGCTTGAACAAGATCGAAGTGAAATGTCTGGACAAACATCAAAAGCACCATTTATACCACCGCATCGATTGAAGACGTTGGTACATCAAGCTGTTGCCTATCAAGTTGAATTTTCTCGTTATCATCCCAAAAAAGCTCCTCGGGTATCTACATTACTTTATGATTATGAATCTTTCGTTTGTCCGAATGCGATCATGTCAACGTGTTACGGTCACAGAAAGAACGTGAAAGCTCTTGCTTGGGTAGGACAAGAGGGTAGATCGATCGCCAGTGGATCAAGCGATGGTACCGTTCGTCTTTGGTCTACGTCCAATGCTCAACAAGAAGCAGTGTTTGAGCATGGTAGTAGAGTGTGGGATGTTGCAGCTACTGAGTCAGGTAATTTGATCGCAAGTGCTGGTGGACATGCTTTGGTCAAGCTATGGAACACATCTTCTCGTGAATGTGTAGCAAATTTGGGCGGACTGGCTTCAGCAGGAACAGGAAGTTCCGTAGTTCCGCCAACTGGTGATGTGTATAGCTGTGCATTTGACGGATACGGTGCTCATCTGTTGACAGGAGGATACGATAAAATTGTTCGATTGTATGATCTTACATCTTCTACCCTCATCAAAACGTTTACTGGACATGGTCTTGGTGTCAGTAGTGTCACCTTTGACCCGGCAGGCCGAATGGCTGTAACGGCAAGCAAAGATTGCAGCGTTCGATTATGGGATCTGAATTCCGGATTATGCATTCGAACAGTTTATGGACATTTAGGTGAATGTACATCTGTTGAATTGAGCGAAAGTGGCAGGGAAATGTTAACAGCAAGTAAGGATAACAGTAGTATGTTACACGATTTGAGAACGTTAAAACCTCTTCAAAGATTCAAAGGAGCCCAAAACACACGTGCAAACTTTGTCAGAGCTTCTTTCGCTCATAATAGCTTGATTGCCAGTGGAAGTGAAGATGGAACGGTTTTATTATGGGATCAAGAGAGTAGCGAATGCTTGCAAACACTTACTGGACATGGAGAAGGGGTGGTGTATTGTGCCAGATGGAATCGTGCACAATCTTTGTTGGCTTCTTGCGGTGATGACGGTACAGTGCGTACTTGGTATTGGGATGAAGGCGGACAAGAAAGGGCGGAGAAGGAACTGGAAGCTAGCGGTAGATGAGGCACCAATTCGACACATGTTTGTACTTTTATCAAACAGCATTGCTAAACATCAAAAATATGATTTTGACTTTAGATGAATCGATGTACTACTACAACAAAGTTGCTTTACCGAAGAACGGTAAGACTATAAAAGAGAGAAAACGAGTGTATAAGAGAGAAAGGGAATAACAGCACATAAAGAAGAAACAAGACAAAAAAGGGTAAAGAGATTTGATCCTATCCAGGCAAAGAAGAATGTACAAGTACAAAACGAGTCGGAAATCTCTCTTCTCAAAAAAGAGGGGGTTTTACTTTTTGGGTTCATGCGATTGACGCAGAAGGTCTTCGGGCAGCGGCAAATCCAACCAAAGAAGTGGCCGCACCAGTGAAATCGCCTGCTCTCATAGATGCTGCCGCTTGACTTGCTAAGGAAGGCATAGTTGTCGATTTGTTCCATCGATAATGATCGTTTTGGTATTGGCTATAGTCATTATTCATTGAAGAGGTGGGGTAAGCGTTGTGATATTCCGATTGTCGATTTTGAACGCTCGTTTGTCTGGAGTCATACATTCCAGAAGCAGCTGTACTCGAACGATCTTCACCTTCTACATCACTTTGTTCTTCCTCTTCGCCGCCATATTCATCATCACGGTCTCCAGCGGCATCCGATCTGGAATGATCTGTATGTCCATCATCTCCTCCGCCGCTTTTGCGCATGTGACCGTCATGATCATTGTTATTCCCTCTGCCTCCTCCATTGCCGCCTTTCTTATCTTTTCCGCATCCTTTGACCAAAACATGTCTTTTTAATGCATCTTTTCTGCTGAAACTTTTGCCGCACCAAGTGCATGGATAAGGACGAACGCTTAAATGTCCTCTTTGATGTCTTTTCAAATCGTGATTACGTGCAAATCTAGCAGGACATTGACTGCAAGCGAATATCCTGGGTTGACTGCTCAACACGCGCGGTGCCGATCTTGGCCTTTTACCATTGATCGACATCAAATGGTCATCAGGTCCCATAGACAAGCCGTAGCCCATTTGACGGGATACCATGCCATACGCATGAGGATTGTCATGCTGTTCATATCTACCATAGATGTTCGCTCCAGGTCCTCCAGGAATGCCGCTGTATCTGTTTGCGTTGTGCATGCCAGGATGTCCTCCCGCCAAAGATGCATGGCTATGATGATTGTAATAAGATTCTTCCGAGAAATGACCAGGTCTTTGAGCGGACATTCCAGGATGCTGATAATTGTTAAAAGCACCGGGGGTAGATTGTTGTCCTTCATCAGATGATGGCTCAGATCTCTTTGTTCCCGCATAAGATCCACCATTTGCCCAGTTCGACGTACCCGCAGAACGTGGTGCTCCGCCTGGATGTGTCGCAGAATTTGTATAATAGTATCCTGCTCCGTCATCAGACATCCTTACCGCTCCTGATCTAGGATATTCTGTTCCATCGACAGGAGGACCAGATGGATGACCATTGTTGTATGAAGAAGGCGCTTGCAAAGATGCCAAAGCGGCAGCTGGATTGGCTCCATTTGCGGGTAGTGTCGGTCTCCTTTCTGCTAATCCGGTCAAACTTGGCGGTGGTAGATGATTGTCTGGCCCAGGAGGAACGTGATTGGAATGACCAAGGGAAAAGCTTGGTCGTTTTCCCAATGTTGGTGAAGGTCCGCGACTTGGAACGTCTTCTTCATTCTGCAACAGTCTGATTGGCGGGAAAGGCAATGAAGGACCTGAGCTGGCACCGCTCACTGCACCACGTCGCATTGGAACCGCAGAATCAAGAGGCGGAAGTGTGATTTCTCCCATGCTACCCATTCCACCTTGTCTTGATCGGGGTGGTAAGATTGGTGATGCGTAAGGGGAAGAACTTCTAGAAGAACCTTGCTCAGGTATGTTACCGGAAATCGTTTGTTGATCCGAAGTTATGTCAATCTTCGGTAATGCCAGCGAACCTCGTCTCTTTTCCGGAAGATCGTTTGATGAGAATTCGTCGCCAAACAAGTCTGGAAAAGGCTGAGAAACGTTTGTGGTGATTGAAGGGTGAAAGCCAGAATGAGAATCTGGATGCTGCTCAATGAAAGTTTTATGTTGTAGAAGAGATGGACTTGCTTCTTCTGTGTTTTCGTGAGAGTGAAAACCTTGAATGGATGACGAAGTGGGAGATCCTTGTTGAGAGAGAGTATCTGTCGTAACACTAAACGAGACTGGATGTCGTTGAGGCGAGATAGATGATGATATCGAACTCGGACCTGGGCCGTTTAGATGATGATGATGGTGTTGATGGTGCTGTTGAGCAGATTGTGTCGGAGACATGATCGCGATAGTTGCAGATTCTTTCTGCTCTGAGTATTATCAACTTCGACTGGCTGAAATCTTGCAGACAAAATGTATGCAATAGAACTGTGTCTTGTACAGATATTTGATGAAGATTTTTGCTAAGGTATGCAGGAACTGCTGTTCAATTGCTGATGTGGCTTGAAAACAAGGGGACAGAGGGAGAAAAATTGCCGGCTATACTTTGAGATGCTAAAAAGGAACTCCGAATAATTGGGTTTGCCGTTAATTGGAATACGGATATTCCGTTTTGTGTCAATATGCCAGACAAATACTTTCTTTTCTTTCTTGTCCGGTGATACCCGTCGGAATTTGACTATGGTCGAGTTTCGGTGATGATGATTTGATCAAGTATGCGAAAGATCAGTATTTGCGATGACTTGATTGCTTTTTGTCTAGATATGTATGTCCAATATATGCATGCATGCACACGTCAATGTTCCAGTATGCGAAAAGAATAGGATCGTAGTAGGAGGGTATCAATCAAACACATGTAGCAGTTTGTGTTACTATAGGAATTCTCGGGGAAGTAAGGAGATCGCCTAGACCTTCTCTGTGTTTTTGCCCACGAGGTGGGGGGATCGAATGAAAAGAGATGCAGTGAAACTTTTTTGCTAGGAACGTTTATCCTAATGAGAAGTTGAGTAGGAATGCGAATACCAATGTTGATGAATGCAGGAGGAGAGCGTTCAACAAAATTACGTTAGAGTCTTTGTTGTAAACGAGAGTTAAAGCACAGTAGAATGCGGGAAATGCAATTTTGCAGACTGTCAATTGTGTGTGTGTGTGTGTGTGTGTGTGTGTGTGTGTGTGTGTGTGTGTATGTATTGTTTAAGTGGCTTTTTGTCTTTTTTTACCCTTAATAGAACAATACAAACTCTTTAGCATTTTAACAGTCTTTTGCTCCATTTTCTTCTTACCTTGAGCGCCGGCGCTGCGCGTTCCTGATTTTTCTTTTTTTTTTCGATCCTGCTGCTGCTGCTGCTGCGCGCGCGCAATTCTTTGTTTTTTATTCTGTGGCTGATTTTGGAAAAAAGGAGCATGCATTTCGTTTTGCGTACATTGCACTCTTTTGCTGCTTTGCACATTGTAAGACAAACTTTCAATGCGTGCGCTGCGCTGCGCCTAGGCACTTTTCCAACATCGGGGAATCCAGGTGCCTGGCAGTCTGGCTTAAAACCCCACAAGATTCAATTTATAAAATAATATTGAATCAAATAAAATTTAATATTCTAGCCCTTTCTCTCCCTCATTTCATTACAGCCAATTTTGCCGCCCTTTAGGGCACAAATGAGAAAAACAGCACAGCCCCCCTTGATTAATCATTGGAATGATATCATTTCAAATTCATTCTGATCCTTTTGATAGAGCAACTTTGATACTAGATGCTGCAAAGACGATCGAAAGTACAAAGTTATGGTAATGCTGCATGTCGTGTTCGTCTCGATCTTCAGGCACGCCGCACGGCAGACTCAGGCAGGCTAGGAAGTGTCTTGAATAACTCCGCCAACAACTTATGCCGTTATACTCAATGAAATCTCCGTGGACATGAAAGTGATAAGCATCAAGTACCATTCTTGGTGTCATATTACAATTATACATGAGTCTTAATTTACGCATTCTTTTCACAAATAAGTCGGAGATTAGAATAAATGAGCTAGTGTAGACGTTGTGGCTTTAAGAACCTTACTCTCTCCAGCAAGCCACCCACATACATTAAGGGTCCATCATCATCTCCTCGGGGAAGAAGTAGTAGATGGAGTTGTTGGTTTGTTTTGAAATGATGACAAAAAGAAAGAAACGCGTGAAAAAAGTGCAAAAATTAATGCAATAACGGCGAATCGAACGCCGGTCGCATCGAATTTACGCAATCTGCTGATTGGCAACGATGCATTCTACCACTGAACCATTATTGCTGAATGCTTATACGCTGCCGGTCGCATTTTAGCGTATATATACCGTTGCTTTTAATACAGATCAGAAAGGTGTGTCATATCTCGTTGTCATGAGTAGCAATGAGAGAACAAAAGAGATAATTGATCACTACTGTTTGTATTGACTATGGAACATACATAGAGCTCTGCTGATATGCCATAGTATTGTGGATCACCCGGTAAAGTTATCGATTAATAATCTGAAATTGGAGTGCGTTTATCATCCGCGCAATTGATCAAAATGACTTGATCAGGATTGATGAAGGTTTGGTTGTTTGAGTGTAATGGGCTATCTTTTGGTTCATTTCCAAATCCATACCATGCATGTGATGAATGAACATACATATCAGCCTTCATTACGCCTACTGTATCATCGTACCAAAGGTGAATTTGTACACTTGCATCCGTACTTGCATCTGAACCATCTTGAGGACGACAACGAGCTAGCATGAATCCTTCCAAAGATTCATAATCGACCGTAATCAAGCATGGGCCCAAAAATTGACGATCCGGACCAGCAAGTCCCTTGCATTGACCTTTCGCACTACCAGGGAACCCCCCATCTTCTGAATATGTTACCGAATTACGATCGTTTATGGTGTAAATTACAAACGTATCCTCCGGAAGTGGGTTAGGAATTGTCAGGCTTGCATTATAGGTGACATAATCAGCTGAAGCTGGTCCAGCAAGATAAGAAGCTCTCAAAGTTGGAAAGTTGAGAATGAAGAAGGAAAGAGTTGACAATATGTAAAAGAAACGCATTGTGAATTGAAGTAGCAATGGACCAGACAAGGAGGTGTTGGTAAGAAAGCAAACTTAACATCCAGTTTATGTGTTACATTCAGGCACAGAATTAACACGGATCTGTATGTGAAGCGGACTTGACGGTCTTCCGCTGCTTAATTTCAGTCAAAGTTCATGAAGTTTATTCAACGGAGAAGAAAGGAAGAAGAAAAATAAAAGAGTATGGAATAAAAGTCTTAACCGCGCGAATCGTTAACGCAATTGATAAGAATAGTTGAACCAGGATCGTTGAACGTTTCGCCTTTGTTGTGTAATGGACTTCCTTTTGATTCATTACTGAAACCATACCATGCTTTAGGTATTTCACTAGGACGTATCGTAGTAATGCTCACATCAGCAATCGCTTTACCGCTTGATTTATCCAAATATAAGTGAATGTGAATATTATCATCGGTACCGATACCTGGACTTCCTTGAGGACGGCAACGAGCAATGATGAAATGTTCAGTATTGGCATCGACAGTTGCTAAGCAAGGACCTGCTAGCAAAAAGTGGTTGTTTGAGCCATCGTGGTGAAGGTGATTCTTACATTGACCTGATGAATCGCCACCATCGTCGTAGTCTGAAGAATAGTCAACTGTGTTGCGATCGATTAGAGTTTGAATCACAAATGTATTCTTTGGGATCGAACGAGGGATAACCAAGCTTGCATTCCAATCCATTGCATTCACCCAAGGCGAGAGACTGAGAATAGCGATTAAGGAATAAGACAGTGTGCGAAAAAAGTGCATGATGAGTAGTTGTACTTGATGAATGAAGGGGTTTTTCTGCCGTAAGGTGGTGGTATTTATCAAACTTTAACTTGTAATTTCACGATTAAGCTTAAAAGGCATTAAATTACAAAGTAACCGGACCTTAACGGTCTCCGTTGATTGATTTCGGCCCAGCCATTCCCCAAAAATACGATCAACGGATAAGTAAAAAAGAAAATATACAAAGAAGACTGGAAAGCCACCAAATCACTTCCGACTCATTTACGGCCATCGCCAACGCAATTGACCAAAATCGTTGAGTCTAGATCGGTAAACGAATTTGATTCATGATGTAAAGGAGTATTGCTAGGTTCATTACCAAATCCATACCAAACATTACCTCTTACTTGAAAATCTGCAGTAGCCTTTTTCGTATCTGGATCGATGTAAAGTTGAAAGTTAAGCTTTGCGCCCGTTCTAGTACCTGCACTGCCAACTGCTCTACAAGTTGCAACTACATCTTGCTCTCTGGTTGCGTTGATCGGTAAAACACAAGGACCTGTAAGGTATACATTTGCTGGAACTGGGGATGCATACTTTCTTAACCAGTGCGCGCAAACTCCATCAGCATTTCCATTACCATTATTGTAGTCATAATCTTTTCCGTATTCGGCAGTTTCTTCATCAAAAACGGTACGAACGCCAAAAGTATTCTTTGGAATTGGATTCGGGATTTTTAAATTTTTCACGACCGTAAGTTGACCAAAAGTGGTACCCAGCAGTGCAAATGTAAGCATAATAGAAGTTCCAGCCAGTCGGAATAATTGCATTTTTATTGATTGTATCAGCAGGTTAAAGAAGGGTTGAGAAGAATTGAGTTGGAGAGATAGAGGATCGATGACAAACAGCAAACAGCAGCTTTTAAATTTTGGGGTCTGCCTGTTGGCTTGATATAACGAAATGAACCACGGTAAAAACAATGATCAGACAAATCATTTCACGGCTCCGCAATCATTATTCAGCATCAGTAAGCGGTTCCTAAAAGTCTTTATGAGAAAACATAATTCCCTCCGAAATTGATTCTATCCACCTGTCCTGTATCAATTGTGTTAATCAGCTCAGTTCACTATGAGTGCATGACCATAACTGAATGCTGCTGGTGACATCCAATCTCCCGAACCCATTGCCGGCAAATGCAGTCAGTGCGCAGCGCATTGCTTAGCGCGCTTTTCATGTGATGGCGGATTTTATTTGCACTGAAAGCCTCCACAGTGAGAATGAATGAACGCTATCTTCTTAACAACCTTCAACAATCGAAAAACTCAACATGCTAAATTATCAGGCAAAAGATCCAACGGCTCTTTTGCCCAATGAACTTTTGGTACATATTGCAACTTATTTAGACATACCCTCTTTGGCAAGATTGGAACGAGTTTCCAAAGCATGGAATGCACTCTTGAAAGTATACGATAATCGTTGTTGGGCTCAACATGTTGAAGGATATGAATACAACAAGGAACTATCATTACAATCAATGAAAGCTCAAAAACAAAAGAATAGCATTGATCAACAATACTGGCAACCGGTAAAACGATGGAAAGATTTCGTATTGAGACAAAATGCATTAGCAGAAAATTGGACAACAGATTATCCAAACGTCGAAACAAGCGTCGTAGGATATACACCCGCCAGAGAGATTGATCCTATCGGGAATCCAGCACCGATTACATATTCAAAAAAGACTGGTGAAGTTCTTCCCGTCATTCATGCTGGACCGGCTTCTTCGTATGTCTGGCGCGCAAGGCTTGATCCTGCTCCTGATGCGCAATTCATCATCACTACATGGCTATCAGGCGGCGTTCGCGTGATCGATGCTCGTCCTGATGGTAATTCTGCAGTTCTATGGCAGTTACCACGATGGAGCGTACGTGCATATGCGCATTTAGAGTATCGAGATGGCATTGCTTGTTGGGATAGCGAAGATGGAATTGAGGTTTGGAAAAGATGGAAGCTCGTTCAAGGAGAAGAAACAGCAGAACAAGATGAACCTGCAAACAAAAGAGGTTCATTTGTCAAAGTAGGAACTGTTCCGGATATGCCAGGTATGCGTGGTTTCATGCTCAATGAGGCTCTGCATTTATCAGTCGTTTCATCGGCCGGTAGATCTTGCACCTACAACGTGGCAGCTGCTAAGCCTGAATCGATTCGAAATTTTCCCATCAAGGAAAATGCATCATGGGTGTACGATTTCGGAATTCGCAGGGGAGCAACAGGTCATATCGAACATGATTTGGACAATGTCGTTTTTTGCATGGGACACGACGGATACTCAGTGTACAACAAGGAAACGGCAACACATTTGGGCGATTTGCGATTTAATGAAGGCGGCTTATTGACAGCATTGGAACAATGCGTTTCAACCAATTATATGTTTATTGACTTTTGGCCTTATCTACCCAAACGACAAGAAGATAGTGTATTCAGAAGGGAGGTTGTGGAATATTTTGAATCGAACGAACAAGCATTGCATAAATTACACGGAACATCTGAAACGGATGAATCTCTTGAACCACCAGAATTGCTTCCTGAACTGAGAAGGAATCGTAAGCCACACATCAGAAGTGACGAATGGGGAGCAACGATGATTAGACAGCTGGACGATGGCGCAACGCTCATAGTAGCACGTTCGGCCGGTGGAAGATTTTTATTTTGTACGGATTTGTTGGGTTTACTGAAATGCATCGAAGAAGGTTCACAAGAGATGTTAGATGCAAAAGTTCGAGAATGTTTGGCGATAATCGAATGTGGTGGAACACGTTGTATAACTGAATTTCGATCAGGTGGCTGGCTCACCGTACATGCCGGTAGGGCTGCATGGGAAATTGAAGATCGGGTTTACATCATCGAATTACCACGAAAACGGAATACGATCCCCGGCCCAAATACAAAGGTGATGACAATGAATGGCAGATACAATGGTGAAATTGTAATGCCTCAAATTTCCGTTCCAGCTTCCATTCTATCTTTGCATGATGATTGTTTGGTGTCAACATATCTTCACCCTGCATACATTTTATTGGAAGGAGAAGTGGCCGGGCAAGCTAGATGGGAAACGAGTGTTTTAAAAAGCGTTCGAATCGTTCGATTTGCACCAAAGGCTTTAGAACCAAAAGTTCAACCACCACATCATGACCCTTCGGCAATCTTTTCACCGGATTATCATGCTAATCGACCACAATTAGGACGCAGAGCGCTTGACGTCCATCAACAATGGTACATCACCAGTCGATTGATGGCAGGTAATGCGATTCGTGTGGATGATGATAATGCTATATGGGCGGATATGGCAGACGATGAAGAAGAATTCGTAGATGTGGACGATGAAGACTTTGAGGACGTTGACGATGACGAATTTGCCGATTTGCAAGCATTGGATGGGGAGGAGGGAGAAGGTCTACATGAAGATGAAATTCTTTAGTGAAAGCAGATTTGTATCATAATTTATTACTATTCAATGTATAAGAGTTTTATTGAAAGTACAGCAAATGCACATAAGCATTACTATTACAATCTCCCCTTCAATTCTTCTTTCTCTGTGAAGCCAATGTTCCAGGATAAGTCTTCTTTGCACTTTCACGTTGTTCCATACGATCCATCCATGCGTTCAACTTGGGATAAAGGGCATCCTTGCCGCTACGCAAGATTGGCTCACCTTCTTTGATTGCACGTAAATCAGCCAAAGGAGGATAAGCAAACAAATCAGCCCAACTGACATTGTTTCCACAAATGTAATCTCCCGAAAATGGTTGATTGAACATTTGCTCAACGATTGCGAGTCTATCATGAAGCTTTTCTAAACCTGTGTCCAAAGCCAAAGTGATTGACTCATCATCGGCACTATTACCTTCCATTGCCAATCTTCTCTTGACAACGCCTAATTCGACGGCAGGGAAGATGACTGTAGCAGCAACACTGACCCATTGATCCACCCTTGCACGTTCCATAGGTGTGGACTTTGCAGCCGGAGGTGTTAATTCAACTTTGTGTTTGAATTTTTGATTTGCTTGCAAACCTAAACTTTCATCGATGTATCTTCTGATTGCGTTACTTTCGTACAAGATAACAGTGTCATCGCTTGAAGAATAAATTGCATTTGGTCTATGAACCAGCACAGGTAAAAGTCCAAATGGGTTACGTTGACGTACTTCACCTGAATGAGGTGGTGTATGATGTTGAATGAAACAATTTCCTAATCCGAATTCTTCCAATCCCATCACAATACTACGTGTGAATGTTGAAAATGGGATACCAAAGATTTCGATTGTTCCGAAATCTTCGGAGAATCCGTGTGGGTCTGGTTCAGTCATGTTTGCTGTTATCAATAGATGATTTACTTGGTGATGGTGTCGAAGAAAGAATGAATTTTGCATGAATGTCTCTCCACCTCGTGCACCCTTCTTCTTTTTGTTTGGATGATATGGACCGTGCATTTCTTTTGATCACCGTTAAGGTCGCCCGAACTCCGAAAAAAGCTTATGGCCGAAAGATGCTTCTTATGCCGGGTGATGGTGCACTGGGCCAGTAAAGATTGCGTGCTTAGCGTCATCATATGATAAGAAAGCCAACATTCTCACAATTCCAATCATCCATCACGGCAACTTGTACAACACCATCACCATCAAATTGGCAGGCGGAACAAGGCTGACAGAGGATGTTTGCATCTTCTTCCCGAACGCTGATTGCGGGAACAAGTGCAAGAATACAGGGTATATCTTGCATTCGCCCTTACAGCCGCAATAATGCATTCATTCCGGTACTGCAAAGATCATGGAACAAGTCTGATCACGATAGAGGGCTATCTATATGGAGCAGAGCTACAGATCAGAGCATCAAGCAAGCATGGCATAGTCCACAGGTAAAAGCTATGCCACCAATTCGCTCAAGGTCATTTCGAAGTATGGCAAATGACAATGAAAGTACACAGACACCTACAAAAGCTCCTCAAGGTACACGCGAGCCCACAAACAAACAGGCTTCCAAAGCAGATGATCCTTTGAACCTGAATCAAGCATCTGCCACCTCCACAAAACAACAGCGTGAGACCGATTGGTCGATTGTGAAAAAGCTGATAGGACACATATGGCCAAAAGGCGATCGAGGAACAAAGATACGGGTCATATTGGCTCTAGCTCTTTTGGTTGGAGGCAAATTGCTAAATGTTCAAGTTCCATTCTTTTTCAAAGGTATCGTAGATCAAATCAATGAAGTCGTCAATGCACCTTTAGATATGACCAATCCTAATACAGCTTGGACAATCGCCGGTGCTGCGATTGTCGGATACGGTCTTTCTAGAGTTGGAGCTGCTGTTTTCTCAGAATTGCGTAATGCTGTGTTTGCCAATGTTGCTCAAAGATCGATAAGAAGGGTTGCCAGGAGCGTCTTTACCCATCTACTTCGATTGGATCTCGGATGGCATCTATCACGGCAGACAGGAGGTTTGACAAGGGCCATAGATAGAGGAACAAAGGGTATCTCGTTCTTGCTCACCTCGATTGTATTCCACATCGTGCCGACTGCACTGGAAATCACAATGGTTTGTGGTATTTTGACGTATAAGTGCGGTATCAATTTTGCTGCAGTGACTGCCATCACCATGGCAGCATATGCATGGTTCACTATCCGGACAACTGCCTGGAGAACGCGATTCCGCAAAGAAGCAAATGCAGCGGACAATCGTGCTGCAACAACTAGTGTGGATTCGCTATTAAATTACGAAGCAGTGAAATATTTCAATAATGAAAAGTTTGAGGTCGCAAAGTATGATAACGCATTAGCAGATTACGAAAAATCCAGTGTCAAAGTTGCAACGAGTTTGGCTGCTTTGAACAGTGGACAAAATGCCATCTTCTCAACCAGTTTGACAGTCATGATGTTTTTGGCTGCACAAGGTGTTGTTGGAGGAACGATGACGGTGGGAGATTTGGTATTGGTGAATCAATTGGTATTCCAATTGAGCTTACCTCTCAACTTCTTAGGCTCCGTATATCGTGAACTACGTCAAAGCTTGGTCGATATGGAAACAATGTTCAACTTGGAAAATGTTGCTGTGAATGTCAAAGACAAGCCTGACGCACCTCCATTGCAAGTTACAGGAGGTGAGATTCGATTCGAGAATGTCACATTCGGCTACCATCCAGACCGATTAATCTTTAAGGATTTATCATTTGTCGTTCCTGCCGGTCTCAAAACTGCTTTCGTGGGTCCTTCAGGATGTGGAAAGTCTACTATCTTCCGTCTCCTTTTCCGATTTTACGAGCCGCAATCTGGTCGAATTTTGATTGACGGTCAAGATATTCGCGATGTTAGCCTGGAAAGTTTAAGAAAGGCAATCGGAGTCGTTCCACAAGATACGCCTCTGTTCAATGATGACATTATCAATAATATCAGGTACGGACGATTAGACGCTACTGATGAGCAAGTCTTTGAAGTAGCAAAGAGGGCACGATTAGATGCAACTGTGAAGAATTTGCCAGAAGGATATTCTACCAAAGTGGGTGAAAGAGGATTGATGATCTCAGGTGGAGAAAAGCAAAGGTTGGCGATTGCAAGATTATTGTTAAAGAATCCCGATATTCTCTTTATGGATGAAGCTACTTCCGCTTTAGACACATTCACAGAAGCTTCTTTGATGCGAGATTTGAACGATACCCTACTCAAATCACGAAGGACGGCCATCTTTGTTGCACATAGATTACGCACGATCAGTGATGCAGATCTGATTATCGTTTTGAGGGACGGAAAGGTAGAACAACAAGGCAAACATGAACAATTGTTAACCCAAGGCAAAACATATGCAGATTTGTGGGACAGTCAACAAACGACTGGAATGGGATATGGAGCGGGAGAAGGTGAACATCCTGCCGAAGCTGAAAAGGAGAAAGTTGCAGCACAAAAAGTATGATCTAATTTGCAGTTTTTAATGGAATAATAAGTTTTATTGGAATGTTGCTTGAGAGTGAGATTCGGGAGACCATAAACGCGCCATCTCAAGCTTATTGCACGTGATCGGGGCCTTTTAAATTTTTTGAGAATAACCTGCATAGAAATTCTTAGGAAGGTTGAATTCATGCTGCTTTTCCACTCCATTCATTGTGATCGATCAGCTCACATATTATTGATCATGAGGAAACAGTTGGATCCACGTATAGCGACATTGATTCGCAATAATGTCGCTTTGAATCATCGATCTTTCTTCATTATGGTAGGCGATCATGGGAGAGATCAAGTGGTGAATTTGCATTATCTTCTCTCACAATCAAGAACATCATCAAGACCAAGTGTATTATGGTGTTATAAGAAAGATTTGGGATTTACCACCCATAGAAAGAAGCGAGAAGCAAAGATCAAGCGGGACATCAAAAGAGGCGTTCGGGAAAAAGGAGATGCAATGGATCCGTTCGAACTATTTGTCAGCGTAACGGATATTCGATATTGCTACTATAAAGATACACCCAAGATTTTAGGAAGAACGTTTGGAATGTTGATCTTACAAGATTTTGAAGCAATTACGCCAAACCTCTTAGCACGTACTATCGAAACAGTAGAAGGTGGCGGTGTGGTTGTCTTGCTATTGAAAACGATGACCAGCCTTCGACAACTATATTCGGTCGCAATGGATGTGCATTCGAAATATCGTTCTTCTTTTGATCCATCAGATCCTGTGGCACGCTTCAATGAGCGTTTCTTACTCTCCCTTTCCTCCTCGCCGGATTGTTTGGCTTTGGATGATGAATTGAACGTCTTACCGATCTCAAAAGGTAAAGATATAAGACCATTCGACGAGAACGATGGAGCAGAATCCAGTAAATCAGAGTTGAAAAGGCAGACAGAGAAGCAAGAAGAATTGCAAAATCTGAGGGATGAGTTGGGACAAACAAGAATCGTGACTGATGTGATCAAACATGCGAAGACGCTGGATCAAGCCAGAGCGGTATTGACCATTTTGGATATTTTGGCTTCCTCAAATCTATCAACGACTGTCACATTAACAGCAGCAAGAGGAAGAGGAAAATCTGCAGCTTTAGGTTTATGCATCGCAGCTGCTATCGCACATGGATATTCGAACATCTTTGTTACATCGCCTTCACCCGAAAATCTGCGTACCTTATTTGAGTTCGTCTTCAAGGGTTTAGAGGCATTGGATTACGAAGAAGTAGCTGATTGGGATCTACAAAGAGGGACTGGAGAATGGAAAGATGTGATCTTACGCGTGAATGTCTTCAGAGGACATCGTCAAACGATTCAATATATTTCACCTAATGATGCCCATGTGCTGGGACAGGCTGAATTGCTGGTGATCGATGAAGCTGCAGCTATACCTCTTTCTATGGTGAGAAAGTTGATGGGACCTTACCTGGTATTCTTGAGCAGTACAATCAATGGATATGAAGGAACGGGTCGTAGCTTGAGTCTCAAACTTATCCAGCAATTACGCGATAGCGCAGGAGGTAAGGCAACTAAAACAATCGAAAATGGTGGAATGGAAGAATCCAATGTCGGTTCAAGTGACCATAAAAGCCGTCTGATATCCGCACGTCAGCTAAAAGAAGTATCTCTTCGTGAACCGATCCGATATTCTTCGGGTGACAAGATTGAATCTTGGTTGCATGAATTGTTATGCTTAGATGCTTCGCTCACACCACTCTCGGCCAAAGGTGCTTCACCGCATCCTTCAACTTGTCAATTATTCATGATCAACAGAGATGCACTGTTCAGTTACCATCCTGCTTCGGAAGCTTTCTTGCAACGTATCATGGCACTATACGTTTCAAGCCATTACAAAAACTCTCCAAACGATTTGCAACTCATGTCCGATGCGCCAGGACATAGAATCTTTGTCTTGCTCGCGCCTGTTCAGGGATCGTCGTTACCCGAACCATTGTGTGTTTTACAGGTTGCATTAGAAGGAAATATTGGTAGACAATCAGTATTGAATTCACTTCATCGCGGTCAACGTGAGGCAGGAGATATGATCCCTTGGACAATGTCTCAGCAATATCAAGATGCAGAATTCGCAACTTTGAGCGGAGCTAGGATCGTACGAATTGCCGTTCATCCACATCATGCACGGGAAGGATATGGTACAAGAGCACTTGAATGTTTGAGGAAGTTCTATGCTGGTGAATTGTTTGATGCTGATGCAGCTGCTGCGTTGCAAAGTCAAAAAGGATCAGAATCATTTGATTCATTCCGCAAGAATGATTCGGGTGAAGTCAAATTGCGTGATGCAACTCGAATGCCTGCTTTACTGCAAAGACTTACAGAAGTTGAACCGGATCGATTGGACTGGCTAGGTGTTTCGTACGGTCTCACGCCATCTTTGTTCAAGTTTTGGAAGCAGAATGGATATGTGCCCCTTTATGTTCGTCAATCACCCAATGATGTTACGGGCGAATATGGAATGGTACAATTACGAAGTGTTGAATCGGAATCCAAACCACCTTCTTGGCTCTGTGCATTTGCGCAAGATTTCGAACGTAGATTTTTGTCTCTGTTAGGATTCAAATTTCGCACTTTCACTTCAATCTCTGCTTTGAGCATCCTTCAAGGAGCCGCTTCTGCTGCAAGGAATGCTACTTCAAATGAAGAGGATGAACGAGCTGAAGTGGAAGTAGGAAAAGGACCGATTGGTGTTCTTGAATTGCGCAGCTTACTTTCACCTTGGGATATGAAAAGATTGGAAGCATATGGAAACAACCTTATCGAATATACAGTCATCTTGGATCTTTTACCGACATTGGCATCACTCTATTTCACACACAGATTACGCGTACCTGACGATGATTCTTTGGCGGATGATGCAGATGTACCTGAGAGTGAATCAGGAGAGATCACATTGAGCGGCTTGCAAAGTGCTATGCTGTTGGCACTTGGTCTTCAACGTAAAGAGCCAGGAGAAGTGGCAAGTGAGTTGGACATTGCACCTGTACAAGCATTGGCATTGTTTGGTAAAGCAGTACGCAGAATTGTGGCAAGTTTACGCAGAGTGGAAAAGCAAAAGATTGCACGTTCCATGGCTAATGAAGCAGGACAAAGAGCGCAAAAAGAATGGAAACCATTACAACAATCATTGTCGGAAGAGTTGGCAAGTGAAGGCTCAAAGATTGTCCAAAGTGAACAAGAAAAACAAAGAGCTGAAACGCAACGTGCTTTATTGGACAGTATGGACATGAGTAAATACGCAATCGCTGATGACGGTCAACGAGATTGGACAGAAGCCGAAAGACAAGCACAAAACTTGCAACCGGATGACATCACATCTGGCAAAAGTACAATCGTAAGCGTCAAAGGACCAGCAAGCGCCAAAGCTCCCGAAGAAAAGCGTAAATCCAGCACACCTAACTCGGGAAAAAAGAAGAGGAAAATGAATTAATCCTATACATACTCTCACACACACTCTATATTCCATCATAAAATGCTCAATTGTACAATTATGCAATAGAAATCTACATTAGAACTTCTCTCTAGATTGTTGCGGAAGCTTTTCCATTTGAGGCGTCTGAGTCGATGAGTGTAGCCGAAGCTGCTGAACGTTGCTCCAATACATTCTTGATGAAGAATTCACCTGCCTTGTAAGAAGAGCGAACCAGAGGACCGCTGGCAACATACAAGAATCCCATCTCTTCAGCAACCTTTTGCCAATGGGCAAAGTGATCTGGCGTTAGATATGCCTCAACCTTCATATGACGTTTGGTTGGACGCATATACTGACCGAAAGTGACAACATCGACATTTGCTGCACGAAGGTCTCGCAGTGTTTGTTCGATTTCATGATCTTGTTCACCACAGCCCAACATGATACTCGTTTTGGTAATCAAACCAGGTTTGGCTTTCTTGGCTTGTTTCAAAACCTCTAAACTTTGACGATACTTCGCCCTACGATCCCGAACGAATGGCGTTCTACTTTCTACGGTTTCGACATTATGGGCGAAAACATCCAAACCACTAATAGCTACGCGAGAGATATCCTCAGCTCTTCCAGAGAAGTCCGGAACAAGTGCTTCGACCAGAATCTTGGGTGCTTTTTGCTTAATACGTGAGATCGTCGATGCTATGTGTGCGGAACCTCCATCTAATAGATCATCTCGATCGACTGACGTTAAAACGATATATCCTAATCCCCATCTCGAAATTGCCTCTGCTGTATTTTCAGGCTCGTGAGGATCCAATGGTCCAGGCGCTCTCGACGTCTTGACAGAACAGAATCTGCAACCTCGTGTACATGTATCACCCATCAACATGATCGTGGCTGTTGCTTTATCCTTTCCTCCTTCTCCTCCCCAACATTCTCCGATATTTGGACACCTTGCCTCTTCACACACTGTGCTTAGACCCAAAGCACGGACATCTTTGCGGATTTTGTTAAATGTTGCTCCAGTAGGAATGCTTGTTTTCAGATAAGAAGGTAGCCTGGGCTCACCTGTCCTACCCAATCGTACTCTCTCTGCACTCTTTCCTGCATTTTCATCAACAGAAAATTCATCAATCGTCAAACCTTCATCGCCTACGTCTTGTGCCAATCGAGCACGGAATGCTTTCATGCGATCGGACGGATTCTTTTCATCTAGAGACGAAATTGGAGGTGGCGAAGATGTGGAAGCAAGGTTGCGGGAAGCAATGCTGCGAACAGCGAGAGCACCTCTTGATGAGCCTGCTATTCTGAATGTTGATGGTCCGATCAAAGAAGACATTGTAGTGATTATCACCTGTATGGCAGGTGCGAGTAAGTGATGGTGGGTGAAGTGATTGATGCAGATCGAATCATCATTTGCCCCAATAAAGTGTAGCCTATTTCAGAGTCAATACGCCACAATAGCCAGGCACCCAAACAAAATCAAAAAATATAAACTTTTATATAATCATTGCTAAACAGTATACGCTGGGCCTTCTTCGGCCGAAGAGCAACACATCGCGTTTAGCTTCCACGATATTCGAAGATTAACAAGCTAAAATAAAAATCATTCACTGCACTGTAGCACAGTGTGTTGGTTTGTATGCTTATTTGCGCGCACAAACACAATCTTCTCATTCTTATCCTTGCTCACCACGATCAGTGAAAAGACATACTAATCACAAAGATGTCTTCATTAGAATTACTCAACCCTCGGGCTGAGTCTGTTAGACGTCAACAAGCCTTACAAGTCAATACACAAGGTGCAATTGGAATATCTAATGTCTTGAAAAATAGTTTGGGTCCAAATGGTGCGGTGAAATTGCTGGTTGATGGAAGTGGAAACTTGAGAGTATCAAAAAGTGGAAGTGTTTTACTAAAAGAGATGCAAATCACCAATCCAACAGCAAGCATGATCGCACGCACTGCTGTTGCACAAGATGATCAATGTGGAGATGGAACGACATCGGTTGTTTTATTGGTCGGAGAATTACTCAAACAAGCTGATAGATATATCCAAGAAGGCGTTCATCCTCGTGTAATCTCTGAAGGTTTCGAGGCAGCAAAGGAAGGTGCTTTGAAGTTTTTGGAAACATTCAAGAAGCAGCCCAAGTTGGATCGCTCTACTTTGGTCACAGTTGCACACACCTCCCTTTCGACAAAGATTCACAGCAGATTAGCCGAACAATTAGCCGGTGATATTGTCGACGCAGTCCTAGCAATCAAACCTTCAACTTCTACCACAGTCGCAGTGCCACCAAAACCAGCAGCAGATGGCTCATCTGAGAAGGTGGACGAATGGCAAGTTTCTGATCCAATCGATCTGCATATGGTTGAAATCATGAAGATGCAACACCGTAGCGAAACAGATACCCATCTGATCAGAGGTTTGGTTCTTGATCACGGAGCAAGACATGCCGATATGCCAAAGCGTGTGGAGAACGCATATGTGCTAACATTGAACGTCAGCTTGGAATATGAAAAGACAGAGGTAAACTCAAGCTTCTTCTACTCTTCAGCCGAACAAAGAGAGAAATTGGTCGAATCAGAACGCAGATTCGTCGACAGCAAATTGAAGAAGATCATTGAATTGAAAGAGGCAGTCTGTGATAGTAATGTAGGAGACAAGGACGAGAAGAAGAAAGGCTTTGTCATCTTTAACCAAAAAGGTATCGACCCTATGTCTCTGGATGTCTTGGCCAAACATGGAATTTTGGCATTACGCAGAGCAAAGAGAAGAAATATGGAACGTCTACAACTATGTTGCGGTGGTATGGCAATGAACTCGGTTGATGATTTGACGCCAGAAGTTTTGGGTTATGCCGGACTGGTGTATGAACATACGTTGGGAGAGGAAAAATTCACCTTTGTGGAAGATACCAAGGATCCAAAGAGTGTTACCCTGCTCATCAAGGGCCCCAATGCTCATACCATTCAACAGATCCATGATTCCGTTCGAGGAGGATTACGTGCTGTCAAACATACAATCGAAGACAACGCTTTGGTGCCCGGAGGTGGTGCATTCCAGATCGCTGCTGCTCAACATTTGATGGATGTTGTGAAAAAGGATGCTAAAGGACGAGCAAAATTGGGAGTTCAAGCATTCGCAGATGCATTGTTGATCATTCCCAAAACGCTTGCATCTAATGGTGGATTTGACGTTCAAGATGTTATTGTTGCTTTGCAAGAAGAATATGCAGATGGAAATATTGTTGGTTTAGATCTCAAAACTGGAGAGCCAACGGATGTGATCACACAAGGTATTTGGGATCAATACCGTACCCTTCGACATGCTCTTCATAGTTGTTCGGTGATCGCATCGAATATTTTATCTGTTGATGAAATCTTACGAGCAGGAAGAAGTTCACTCAAGAATGAACAACCAGGTCCATGAAGGGAGGAAAAGAGGGAAAATGAAGTTGAAATCGAAGGATTTTGTACAATTTACATCAATGCCATCCAATTCATTACATTATAGATACACGTGGCTATGATGGGAAGCAAAGTTTAGATAAGCACATATTTGATCCCGTATTCTGACATTCAGGCTAATCTATTGTTTCCCGGGATATGAGATTGAAGAAGATCTTGGAAGAACAATGCTTTTTTGACTGCCACAATTGAACTCCTTACTTTAGATAAAGACTTAGGAAGAATGAAAAAGCAAAAAGCGAAAGGTAATTGCGCCAACTATGTACGCTAGATGTGGGGTGCTTACTTGATCCATAGCAATCTTGAGAGGAAAGGAGAGGCTGGACTGCTGTCAGGGATTGAATGAATCTTGCTTGCTTGTGTTCCTGCATAAGTAAGTGTTCAAGATTCCTCTTTCTAGATTTAAGGCGCGCATAAAAGAATACTGCAGCAATACGCAAGCATGTACACATTCTGTCATCTATGTTGATTAGCAATGTAAGGGGATCCTACGCCTCTTTTATGCAGGTACCAATCGTCAGAATCACAACACCGCCTTCTTTTTTCTGGTGCTTTGTCACAATTTCAAAAGTTGGCCGGTGAATTCATTCCGTATCTTCATGGCCGGTAATGTGAGAATGTATAGGATCAATGCTTAAGAACAGGTGAGAAAGAGAGTGAGACAAATCAACAACAAAAAAAGAGCATGCATTCACACCCTCATTCCTTCGGGCCGATAAAGTTGATCTTTTTTCTGGCAAAAGATGATATTTTCTTCACCGCAATATTTACACAAGATCGGTTCAAGTATGAAACGGAACCGCACAGATTCTGCCTTGGTATCGATTTATGCATTCATGATCATCGTCATCCCTTAATTAAATGCAACAATGTTATGTATGCACACTCTTATTTCCGCCAGAGCTTAATTCTCATTTACACGTTCCTGCATGCAAGAATACATGCAACATTCACAAAGTGCTGAATTGCAATAGAGGTACTTTCAAATCATATCCAATTTAAATTCACTTTGGGTAAGATTTCCATACAGGAATAATGACTGATCACAATACACACAAAGGGATTCCATGTTTGGTAAGTGACATTCCATCCATTGATGCACATGTAAAGTGTGTCTTTCATCCAACAAAGAAAGGGAACTTCCCCTTCTTTCCGAGAAAAGACCGATCAATAGACGACGATAATGAAAATCAATAAATGCACTTTTCATGCAGGTACATTTTCAATACTCATTTCCCGCTTTAGTTTCCCATCAAATCATTTAATTCTCAGACATCAAAGTTCAATCACCGCTTCGACTATGCTTCGTACATCTGTTTATGTATGCTGCTACACTTTTCCATTTTACCCGCGGGATTTTCATACCGAGAGGATTGTATGTATATTGCTGATGAAATGCATTGGCCTAATTAAAACCGAAAATTGGCGCGGTAATTCAATTTATGCAGACAAAGCAGATAGAGTGTACACAACAAAAGGTACAAATGAAAATTGTATAAGGCAGCACCTCAACTCTGGTAAATGAACCGGGAACCGAAAGAGAACACAACAACAAAAAAGGCCAAGAGAAAAAGGGACGAAAAAGCCGATTAGGGAACGATGGCCGGCGTACAGCCAAAAGCAGTATTCCCTTTTACGCGTTCCGCCCCTCTCCGCCCTTTCTTTTCGAAAAGTTGGCGTTGCTGAAGAAGGGGAGTGGAAAGGTGCATGGAATGCAATTTTAAGTTGTAAACGTGCAAAGGCCTCTGCCGAAGTGCCCCTATGTTTGATGGATGTCTTACTTTCGGCAAAGAATCAGTGCAAATCTTTAATTCTTTGAATCTTCTTTCGGATCATAATGTAGTTTAGCTAGTTAAAGCAATAGCACGCTAATCTACATACACAATAAAGATCCCTCCTTTCCCGGCACTGGTACAGAAGCTAAATGATATAATCTTACAAGTCATATCAAAAAGGAGTACACATGCCGAGTATTCAAACCCCATTCTGCCAATAGAATACGGGAAAGTTGATTTGAATTTGTTTGGATTCATTTACGTATGTATGTACAGGAGCATTCTAACTCCCGAATATTGCCCGAAACATAAAAAAACAGTCCTAAGGTGGCCAACCTTTTTTATTTGCCTCTCGTGCGTGTGCGTGTGTGATTGCTTCGTGATCGATACATCCTATTCTGTTTCCAAGGCGGCGTGTCTAATTGAACCATTATCCTTTCTCTCTCTCCTAAGATTCACTTCATTATGCTTTCCATCTTGCCCTGATCCCTTTCATCATCAATCATCACCCTTTTCATCGCTAATGGTAGCACAAACACTTCGATCGTACGACTAAAAAGAACAACAACAACAGCATACACACCGATACATGTCAACATAGTCCTTGTCGATAATTTATACTCAACATGACGTCTTTTTAGAGTAGATAAAAAAACGAAACCTCGACTCTTTCAACATGCATTTGCACAGCCAAGCAGTATCAGCTGTAGCCAAGGATGTTTCTGCTTCTGGCAGTTCATCCTGGTCAAATGCAAGTACGAGTGGTAGTTCGATACGGTTAACGAAAACGATCTTATCAAAAGTAAAATCGCTTTTCACATCACCAACTTCGATGGCAGTTATCCAAACGACAAAACAAGGCTTATTGATGAAAAGAAGTTATGTCGACCATAATAGTCAAGATATTGTCGATCTTTGCATCTGTATTGCGTCCATCGTTGGTGGATTGTCGATCATAATACCGTATTGCATCAATAGAAGGAGTAGAAAGCTAAGACATTCTCTTATTCTGGGTTTGGCAACTTCAGATTTGGTGTCCAGTATAATCATCACTGCAACAACGTCATATTTAGTCGCAGGTGGAAATTTGGCCAGCGCATCGAAATTTTGCACTTTTGCCGGTTACATCTTCTCAGCTTCTATTTGGACTCAACATCTTTGGAATTTCAGCATCGCAGTAATCACATATATGATTCTCGTTCATCCGCTTTCTTCTTTCGTCGGAAACGTAGAAAGACATTTGATTTGGCTTTGGCCAGCATTTTGGTCTATAGCTTTAATCGCAAATGGAATCACCTGGAAGTATGTCGGCTTTACGGACGTGGACGGATATTGCACATACAATCCTAACAGAGGAGGAGAATACTTTTCACCCGTTTTCAACTTTGTTCCACGTGCATTGGTGGTGATTGTGATTGTGGTTTTGTATACCCATTTATTTTTCTTTTTGAGAAGGATAAATTTATTCTCCGCAGTCACTTCAAGCGATCGATCAAGACGACTTTCAAGCGTTACAACAAGCAATCAAGGTCAAATACGTAACGTTTCTGAAACTTCCGCTCATGCACGTCCAGCAAAAGGTGCATTGGGAAGAAGTGCATCTAAAATTTTCTCAAACGTACGTAGGAATCATTCTGCTTTTACTACGACTCAACATCCACCTTCTACAGCAGCAGATAGTGATGTGACAAAGAGAAACGGAAGTTCTTCCACTCAAGGCAAAGCTTCCACGGTTACGCCTACACTACCGCACTTGAACAAAGTGAACACTGTTCAAATCAGTGACGCTACTACCACACCGGCAGAAGTGTCACCAAAATCCAGAGTATTGAACGAAGACGAATCGGAATTTGAACGTCAACAACAACAGCATCCTTCAGCAATGGCACAAAAGCCAATCAGTTCTTCACCTTATGCATCCTTGCAACGTCCGGCCACCGCTACACTTTCGTATCGACCAGCGGTGCCGATGATCAATATGCGTAGACCGGTCACTGCGCCTGATTCACGTAATGAAAGTCAATCAGAAATCGATATGGAATCATTGGATGATGAAGCAACCAAGCGAAGGAATGAGTTGGGCATCTTTGATAATTTGGACGGAGGAGATAGTTCGGATGATTTGTTCAAACCGATGGCCATTCGTCGTGATGTTCGTGATTTCGGAATGACAAGTCCACCACAAGAACATCTTCGACATGTTTCACTTTCAGCGGCAGGTGTAAAGATGGCAAGAAAGGCAAGGACAGAAGATACTTCGCCTATTGATTCAGGTGAAAGGCACTATACTTACAGCGAACAAGGTAATAGCAACGTTGCAAGTTCAGACGTTCCTGCTTCTGTCACATATGAAGATTTACTTGGACCGGAATGGCAATGGGGCATGGCTGTAAGTCAAGACGGAAAGCAACAACAACCGACTATCAGAGGATCGGACAGTAACGATCGTCGATCGCCTTCGGGTACAGCTGGTAGAAGGAGATCTTCCCGTTGGCATGTGTGGCCTGCCAACCGTGAAAGAGGAGTAGGAACGAACAGTTTTGGTAGTTCGACAGAAGAGAATGGAGTCGAAGCGATTGGAAGTACGCTGAACAGACAAGCGAGTGTACTTTTGTTACTCTATCCGGCCGTTTACGTTTTGCTCTTCAGCGTTTCAATCATTCGAATTATTGTGGATATTAGTAATGAAACCAATAATACGGTTGATTTACGTAAAAACAGTGATACTCTTCATTCTATTTCACGTTGGACAATTTTTGCACAAGGAGCGATTGATGCACTCGTTTTCCAATTGATCGAAAGACAATTCCGACGAAGAATGAAGAGAAAGAGAAGGATTGCAGCAGGTGAAAAAGTAGAAGATGTTTGGTTGATCAGAATGCTAAAAAAATTCAATTCGAAGAAAAAATCAACAGCAAATAAAACAACTGCAAAAGAATAAAGATAATTCATAATCAATTATAGCAGCAGAAGTAGGAGGAGGAAGATGATTGTTTATATACAAATTGTATTTTACCATTGATATCCGCAACAGCACACTTTATATATTCACACATATACTCGCAGAAGCACATTCATTTTAATCGTGCTTTATCATATCATCTTATTGACATATATCCAAAAGCATTTCTTCATTGTTTGCCGCTGTTTAACACTATTAAGAATGCAACAAGAACGAAATAAGAGTTCTCACTAGACCGCTTCAAGTCTTTCTCCGATCACAACATGCAATCACACCGAAGATCCGATGATTGATTGAATTGCCCGTGTTTCGGATAAACTTCTTTAAATTTGCTTGGCGTGCAAAGCGCTGCGCAGCGCGACAGCAAAAGGCATTCATCTTAAACTAAGCTAAAGTGGGCGTCGTAAATTGAACGGGCTATACCTTCTTCACACACTTTGTCGATCATAATTCATCCTTGCTTGCTTGAAGATAATTGTGATTCGTTGCTCTTACCCACATACCCAGCACAAGCTGTCAGTAGAAATGATGATCTTTCTTGACAGCCGCTCTTTTAACGCCCATTTCAAACGCTAAGTGGTGGTATGCAATGAAGTAATGATTGTGCTTTCTTTGTGGCTCATAGAAGGGTCAACTTGGACAATATTTGTTTACCCGAATCCAATCAAAGATGATCAAGCGTGTTTGAGTCATTCAATACTATTCATGAAGAGAGTGAATTGTCTGCTTTTTCCGAAACACTCTCTCTGCCTTGTGCCTGAAGAATGAAAAAGCGGGAATATGATTGACAAGGCGATTGATCAGTGCCCTGTCGTGGTTTGAAAATAAGACTAATGCTTTACGATTGCATACAGTTCAAATGGCATTTTTTTCACGTCATGCATGAATTTGTACACTAATCGGTTTAAAGCTTACACCTTTAATGCTAACATCACTCACTCGTATAATGCCTTTTATTCTTAAATTTTTGTCTCACTTTGCATCTTACTTTGACAGTTTTCCTCCTCTTTTTACTCTCCGATAATGATATGAATTAAAGATCAATGTATTGTTTGAAATGATGTCCACCATCATCACAATCTGACAGACTGACTTGACGAGAAGCTGTATTCTCTCTTTCTCGACTGGCAATTGCTATCGAATGGAAGTCACTTCGAGTGGCTTTTTCAACTAATCGGACCTCCTCCTCCTCAAACACAAATCGGTAAGCCGAAACACACACGCAAAACCAACCGCCTTTGCATCAAACATCAGCAGTCCATCAATCTCCGTTGATTGCGGCTTTTGAATTGTTATCCACGGCCCGCCGCTTGCCGCAATAAAAGGCTATCTTCTTCTTCTTCTTCTTCCTCTCGTTGGCGGGGAGGTATTTCAGTCAAAGAGATAACCTTATTCCCAAAAAGTACAGCAAACATCAAAACACTACTTACGGTTGTCCGAATCGATCGAGGAATTGAGTGGAGGAGTGTAACACTGCCCTCTTTTTTCTCCTCTTTTCTGACAAGATCGCATAAAAGATCGGAGTATCAAACCTGTTCACTTTCCATCTTTCCACTCGATTCCTTCTCCCAGAAGATCGAGAAATAAAAAAAGAGGTGATTTTATCGTAGCACCGCTTTACTCTCGTAAGGCTACGCTCGCTGGCGTATTTGGCTCTTTCTTCACAAAGCGCCCAAAAGTAATAGTGACTTCCTCGTATCGTACTTGAAGATCGTGCATGGTATAAAGATACGAAAGGAGTCGGAAATTCTTCATTTCACGATCCGCCATGCTCACTTCAGAAGGATATGCACACATTCATCCCGCCAGCAATACACAGCAAACAACAAATCATACAATGCAATCCGAGCCTGGAACGAGCAATATCGGGGCATATCCGATGCAACATACAACATCATCTGACCTAAGAATGTCTTTTCCCACTCCTTCTGAATCAAAAGAAATTCATTCTTCTTTTCAACCAAATCAACAGTATCGTCAGATGTATCAAAATCAACCACAAAGCATGTACAATAATGGCCATCAAGATCACAATCAGCATCACCAGCAACAGCAGCTGGCTGCACCACCTCTGATTCCATCAGTGATGCAAGCTAGACCTACTCCTCATGCGCAGGACCGTCAATCAACTTTGCTTGGGCAAATGTCATCGTTTGGGCCACCGTATCATCAATCAAAGCCTCTTCAACGTCAAGGTTCCCAATCAGGTAGTAGCTCCACAGAAGGAACGCATGCACGCGCATATCGAAGTCGAAAAGATCGTCCATGTGATAGCTGTCGAAAGCGCAAGAGTAGATGCATCATCGAAGAAACAGGACAAGATTGTCAAAGTTGTCGAATGAATAACAGAAATTGCACGTTTGAAATGTCTCCTACACCACGATCAAGACCGATCAAAAATGAAGATGGCGTTGTGGTTGCTTCTGTTGTCGTACCACGCAAAAGATCTCATTCACAACGTCAAATGAGCAATTCTTCTTCACCTGCAGATAATGAACATTCTAGATCATCAATTATGCAAATCAATTCTGCATCTTCAGATGAAACGCCACGTCCGCCGCCTCCGGCTCCTCAGCCTTCTTCACATATGACGCCTTTTAGACAACCTCCTACTCCTCAAAGGTCAACGAGTACGAGTGATGTAATTGGAACTTCACCTACCATGGCTTCAGTGTTGCACGGACGTAGATCAAGTCAAACGCAGAATGCATTTGGCTTGGTTCCATCTTCGTCTGTTTCATCAACGTCATCCCATCCAAAGCCTGGCATCACAGCTGATCAAGGAGAAGAAGGTGAACAATCAATGGTAAACGAACGTGCCACGTCAACGCAACTTTACCAATTGATCTCATCAGTCATGTTCAAGGAAGACAAAGATATATTCAATACCGCTGAAAATGAGAGAGTAAACGAAGTATCAAATGAACCTCTCGAACATAACGAAGAAGATCAAGAGCATGAGAAAGGTATGATTGGAGTAGTTTTGGGAAGCTGTTCATCCGAAGACCCTCAATTGTTACGACAAGCAGGCTCACCAGGCTCAACGCACAAGCAAGGAGCAGCAACGAGCCCTGGCAATGATCAAACGTCAAATTCATCAAAGACTACAATGCCACCACCTGCCACACCTGAGAGGGATTCGGGATCTGCCGCAACGCATAATCAAAACGGCCATAGTTCTTCCAACTCTTACCCGCTCCAGGTTCGACAAATGAACGGAGATCCGTACAATCCTGTCTTTTTTGCTTTTGTGCCTGCCCATCCGTACGGTCGTAGTAACAACAAGACTGGAAGTCAAATTGGCTTACCGGGTTATGCGAAGCTGAAAGAATCACTGCAAAGCAGGATCGGACAATTGATGGTTCTGTATTCTCAAAGAGATTCAGCAGCTTTTCCATTGTTGTTCGAATCACAAAGACGTAAATTTCGTCAAACGGCCGTAGAAGCATCAACGAAAAGTGCAAACGTGGATGTACCTTTACCGTTGGTCTTGGCAACTGCTACACTTGCAACTGCGACCGTTTATGATGTGACTTTGAGACCGATCTCCAAACAAGCATGGGGTTCAAACTTGCATGCACTCATGCAACAGTTTGAGCATTCAACGCTGACCACAATCCAAGTTGCTTTGACCGATCTTACTGGTCGACCATCGATCAATACGAGTGGAAACCTGATGACGTTCAATCAAACGTTAGCAATCAGTCATATGTTGGGTTTGCATCTCGATCCGACAAATTGGACGATCTCAAACGAAGAAAAAGATGTTCGAATTCGGTTATGGTGGGCAACTGTGATTCATGATAAATGGTCTTCTCTTTGTTGGGGTCGTCCAAGCACAATCCATCAACAAGATTATACTGTTCCTTTGCCACGTAGAAATGGATTTTCACCTTGTACTGAACATTTGGAAGATAAAGGTTTGAAAACGTATGCATTTGGAACAGGTTGGCATACACATCAAAATGCACATACGCCCGGTGATACATTCTCTGGACTTTGTCGATTGACATTGATCTTGAGTGACATTTTGGCAGAATTTCACAGTGTGAGAGGTATTCATGTCATGCATCGAAATTCGTTTGCCGTTTCACAACGTGTGAAAGCTTATTTGGTTCAATTGGAAGATTGGATGGATTTATTACCCTCAACATTACGAAGTGTTCTCAAATGTGATGATGGAGGTGCACAAGGAACAGAAGGAATCCCAGGAACACGTTCTTTGCAACTTTCTTATTTGGGCGTCAATTTGTTGTTGTGTCGAACGCTACTTGATTCCGTAACAACAAAGGGAACACAAGAATGCGATAGGCACATTCCCGCCCATAGAACTGGTTTGCATGGTTGTTTGATGATGGTCGAATATTTAGAATCGCTAGATGAGAACGACTACGGAGGCTTCTTCTTGCATTATGGCTCTCATCATATCGCCTCTTGCCTTTCCTTACTTGCACGTTTGTGTTATGGCTTCGCACGTTTGGGTCAAGAAGATTCTTTGCAAACTTCGATCATCTGTATGTCTCGGTTGCTCGTACGACTTTCTGATGCCCATAGATTGTACAAATGGGATTTGGCAGAACTTGCGTTGACTCGTTCTAGAGCTATCTTGCCTGCAATGGAAGCTTCCATTCCGGATTGGACCAAGTTCTTCGGTGAATCTCCCTTTGCGCAAGATGAAGAGGGCGGAGAACAAGACGGAACAAGTAGTGACGTTTTCAACAATCGTTCTCGCCTCGCTGGAACTACTACAGTGAAGAAAGAGTTTGATGAAAAATGTCAAAATCATACACAACCAAGCAAACAGGCCCAGGCGCCAAGAAATGCAGGCACGATGATGGGGAAAAGTCAACCTTCTAACAATAAAATAGCACTTTCAACTCTGAATGGACTTGTTCTTCACTCTCAGAATAGTCCAACAGCACATATCAATCCTCGTACCGCAGGTCTGATGGGCATGCTTGGAATCGGAATGAACAGCGTGAATGGGTTCCCTACCGGTCCGAACGAGCAAGGGATGGGAGCTTTATTCCATCCATATATGGATAGCGGTCCATATGCCAGTATTCCGATCGATGCAGCAGGCCTTCCATATCCGATCGGAATGAACAATACTTCTTCTGCTCAAAGTACACTGCAAAACGGTCATGTTGCTTCTCCGGCGATTGGAAGTAGTACAACGGGTGCAAGTCATTTATTAAGCAGTATGGAAGTTGATTGGCTTGGGATGGGTTTAGAGCCAAACACATACTCTGAATATTTTGTTAATTCGTCTCTCATGAATGGCGCAGGTAATGGTATCGGAAGCAGCAATAGCAACAGTAACGGAAATTGAACGATTTGGTCTGTACGCAAGAGAGTTGTTGTTTTCTCGTTTTGAAATGTACTCTACTCGCATGTATCGTTTTGTAATCCATTGTTTTCGTTTTCTTACGCCTTCTTTCTTTCACAACACAAGATATCTGTAGAAACTTTCTTCCTGCCAACGACTTAAAATGATGACCGAAGTAGAAAGTCCGTGTACACAAACACATTATTAATGTGAAAACTGGCGCGAGAGGCACTTTTGCTTCAAAAGCGATATTTTTATGACGGTCAAGAACAGGAAATGAGGTCAAGGCGGGCTGCTCCGCTGACTTTATTGATGACTTCTGTGTGGCATCTTGTGTTAAGTCCTGCCCTTCCTCCTTCTGCCCTTCCTCCTTCTGCCCTTCCTCCTTCTGCCCTTCCTCCTTCTGCCCTTCCTCCTTCTGCCCTTCCTCCTTCTGCC